TTGATTGCAGGGATCTGTTTGAATTTAATGTTCACTTTTAAATGTGAGTGTATATTTGTGTGAAGTATTTGTGTTTGAGTCAAAGAATGTGTTTCTTATATCTTTATGGAGTTTAAATGCATGGGTGTGTTGTATGTAATATTTGTGTTGGATTGCAGTTATGCGTTTGTATGTTGTGCTAGTGTATGACTGCTTGGATGTATGCACATACACTACCACATACATACATACATACACACACACATACATACATACATAAACACACATACAAACCGACACATACACACACCTTAACAAACACATACACCAACATATACACAAACATTGATACATGCACACACCATGATACAGATACACACGGTGACATAAAAACACACACTAACATAGAGATTCACATACACAGATACATATCCTGACACACAGATGTGTGCACACACACTGACATATATACGCGCGCACACTCATACATATACGCGCGCACACACACGTGATATTTTTAATATCTCCAGCCACCCTCCTATTGGTTTACCTTGTATGTCCATGAGAGTGGCTTGGAGTGAGGGGTCTGTAGCGCTTCGTGCTTATCTCCCCCCATGCTGCGGCTGCCTCCTCTCCCTCCTGCACTTTCTGCCTGCATGACGCTGGGAGGAATTGACAAGCTGTCACTTCCTCCCAGCCGGCTGATATTACAGGTGTCCGGTCAGTGGTGTATCCTGGTTTTGTGCTGCCCTAGGCAGGACATAACTCAGGCCCCCCCCAACCCTTCCCCCGCCCCGCCTTCTAAATACACACACACACACATTCACTGACAGATACACAGACACACTAACAGACACACTCACACTCACTAACAGACACCCACTCACTGACACACACACACAGGCAAACACACACACTCACACACAGTCAGACACACACATACACACTAACAGACAAACACAGTCAGACACACACACTAACAGACACACACTCACTAGCAGACGCACACTAGCAGACACACACACTCACACAGTCAGACACACTCACTGACACACACACTCACAGGCAAACACACTCACACTAACACACACACACACACTCACAGGCAAACACACACTCACTGACACAGTCAGACACACACACATACACACTAACAGACACACACACACACATTCACTGACAGATACACACACACTAACAGACACACTCACACTCACTAACAGACACACACTCACTGACACACACACTCACAGGCAAACACACTCACACAGTCAGACACACACACACACACACGCAAACACACACACTCACACACACTCACAGGCAAACACACACTCACTGACACAGTCAGACACACACATACACACTAACAGACACACTCACTCATTAGCAGACACACACTAACAGACACACACTCACTAGCAGACACACTCACAGACATATAAACACATTTTTATTGACCCCCTCCACCCCCCACCTCCTTACCTTTGGGAATGCTGGGGGGGGTCCCTCTCTCCCTGGTGGTCCAGTGGCTGCTGGGCGGGCGGCTGGCGAGGGAGCACTTCCTCTGAGCGGTCTGCTCAGCTCCCTCGTGCGCCGCACAGTGAGGATGGGAGCCGGAATATGACGTCATCTTCCGGCTCCCAGCCTCACTCTGCGGCGCGCGAGGGAGCTGAGCACACTGCTCAGAGGAAGTGCTCCCTCGCCAGCCGCCCGCCCAGCCCAGCAGCCCGCATGGCATGTCTGTTAGCCACGAGGCTAACAAGGCATTTGCCCTGGGCATTTGGGGGGCGGCGTTTTTTGCCGCCCCCTGGAAAATGCCGCCCAAGGCAAATGCCTTGTTTGCCTCGCGGCTAATACGCCCCTGTGTCCGGTCACGGTCTTAAAGGACTGCGGCACCCGATCTGGCCCTTGTTCAACAGTAATGGTTGGGAATCGCTGATTTAATGAATAAAACCTGTTGTCTTTAGTGGACAATGTGAGGTACAGTATTTGTCATTAATATGCTACTTTTTCGGTCCAGTTTACTGGAGATTTGGGAAGGATATGAAAATTTGTTGTCTGTTTTACATTTATTTAGCATTTTTGTCCATTGATTTGTTAGAATGCATTAAACATCTGTGCATTGACTGTGCATTGGCTGTTTTAGCATCAAGCTTGCTTTTTTATTATTGGGATTCAAAATTCCATTGTAATTGTTTATTTATAAAATGCCACAGTGGTTGTGAGCACTCTACAATGGGAGGAAATGTTAGTCATCATGATGATTAATATTAGGTGCACCTTGAAATCTGCAATTTAAGGATATTAAACTATTTCTTGATTTATCTCTAGCGACTAGACAGGTGAAAAGGAAATTCAACAAAACTACTGCAACTCTAAGAGCAAACAATATTAGATACAAATGGAACTTTCCAATAGCACTAGTAATAGTCTATCAGGACCACTCTTATACACTCAAGGATCCAGCAGCTGCAAGAGAATTAATCCTAAAATCGAAACTTTCAATATTAACTATCATAATGAATAGTAAGGAAGGGACTTTTTTTAATTTTATTTTTTTATTTTATTTTTAACTCATTTTTCCTGCCTGAATTAACACATTTATGTGTGTATTCTGTAATATTAATAGCACGTAACCCAGCATCGGAATTTCTATCTTGTATCTTGGTTTGTTTAACCCCTTAAGGACACATGACATGTGTGACATGTCATGATTCCCTTTTATTCCAGAAGTTTGGTCCTTAAGGGGTTAAACCTTACTTGGATATACTATTAAGCCGTAATACTTACTAGAAAGCAATGGGCCTTTTTTTTTTTTTTTAAACGAACAGAATTGTGTGTGTATTTTGTATTCTCACTAGTAATATTAATAGCTATTATTCCAGCAATGGGATTTGTATCTTGGTATGCTTAAATCTCACTTGGATATAAGATTGTTTATAATTTAGCAGGTAAGGTGTGTGAAAAGTTACATATTCAGTCTCAGTAGAAACCTTTATTATTTTGAGAGTTCCTTACGTTAAGGGCAATTTCTTTTAAGTAATGAGACAATATTATATTATATATTTATTATATTAGATTTTTATTTTTATTTTTTTTACTGCATAAATTACCAAAAAAATGTTTATTCTGTGTTTTGTAATATTAATAGCAAGTATCCCACATCGGGATTTGTATCTTGCTTTGTTTAAACCTTACTTGGATATACTAATTAAACTGTAATACTTAGTAGAAGGCAATGGGCATTTCTTTTTTTTTTTTCTTTTTTCTTCTTCTTTTTTTTTTTTCCTCTTGCTTTTTTACATGGTTTGGCTTCTTCCTAATGTATTAATTTCCCTAGCTATCACCCAAACCTCACTTACAGGACATGTTGTTCTGTTCAACTTTTTGTCTAATAATGAAAATTGTCTACACAAGATATAGACAAGTAATCCCATTAAAGCAAGGTACACATAGATGGCATTGAATTATTGGCAAATTTTTTTTGTATTTGTATGTGGATAAACAAGCTAGGTACACACATCTAATTGGAAGTAACCAGAGTGACCAGCAGTAACATCAGCATTCATAATGTGGCGGGCATTATAAGAGTAACTGTGATGCAACTTAATGAGGTGTACGTTCTGACAGCATGACTAGTCTGGATAATGCTATACAGTTAACTGGAGAGAAAAGCACAAATTCTCCATTGTATTCCAAGGGGCTTAGAGGGGATTCCCCTTTTCTATAGGTGTGCCACCTTGCTGTCATATTCTCTGTTTTCCTATCAGCGCTGAACCCCCTTCCTGATCTCGTATACAGTTAACTGGTCTAAGATAGGCATTAAGGTGACATGCTATGTTTCAAGAGATTATGCTAATCCTATTATAATTGAATAGTTACATCTAGCAAGATAACTTTTCACGTAGTAAAAGCCACTGGGTCTCCTCATTCAGGCATCCCTCACTCTAAGTGAAGTGTATAGTACATGGCTCGAGGCATTCCGTCATCAGCCGATTCAGGTAGTTCCTCAACTTGTTCCCGCCACCACCCTGGTCATTTGTGAGGTTTAGTCCCAACATACGTGTAAGTTTGTTTGTGTCGCTCTGTCAGCCCTAAATCACGCCTTGGATCTGCATCTTGCGCCGTCAGGACTGGCATTCCCCAGAGCCGACCTCGGAATCATTCAAGGGGTTAAATCTTCATGCTGTGGGGTTATACTTTTTATGACTCACAGCATTGTAATTTGTGTGCTGAGCGCCAGCTCTGACTGTTGGGTGTTGAAGTGTGAGTGTCCAAGAGTACGACTCCCGCTGTCTGTGGCATAGCCGTGGTGGTTGTACTACGGGTAGATGCTGTTCCGGCGTTAGTATGGTGTCGGTTTCGAGTGAGTATGGTCGGCAGCCATATTGATTGCAGAGTGCTGGGTTGGCCTGTTCTTTAGTGCAGCCTAAGATTCTCCAGTGGAGACCTGGATGACCCCCACCGGCCTGGGTGGGGGGGAGGGAAACTGGGTAAGCAACCGCACCAGAGAGAAGGTGTGTGGCATGGGGGGAGGGAAGATCAGGGCCGCCAAGAAGACCGCAGACTCCAAAGCTTTAAATCACCCTTTCGGGATCCAAAACTCCCGATCTCAGAGTACACCGTGATGCCCACTGTCGTGTATCAGCTGCAGGTAAATTTTTGGGCTTGGATTGCGTGTCTAAGCTGTGATTTTCAGCATGATTAACAGAGTTCCTCAGGAGTTTCTCCTGCATGCGACTGGTCAGCATGGCGGCCCGGCCCCGCCCCCAGGCTGTAAAGGTATTTAATGGCACTTAGGTGCGTTTCATGGAATATCCAGGGGCTTAACTCTCCTCAAAAACGGGGGACTTTGTGTAAATTCTTAAGAAAATAAGCTGGATATAGCTTTTATCCAGGAAACCCATTGGATCTCTTCTCCTACTAAAATATGGCACTTTAATAACTTTCCGATAGTATAGTATGCCAACCTTGAAGGCAATCATAACAAAAGGGGTGTCACTATCGTTTTATTGAAAAATCGCAAATTTGAATATGTTCACTCAGAAAATGAACTTAACGGTAGATTCCTGCTCTTAATTGATAAGATACATCACACGATATTCACTCACATATATGCTCCGAATGACATTTCATTGGGTTTTCTGGAAGATTGTATTTCCAAAATTGAAAAAAGTGTGGAAACTTAATTATTGGTGGTGATTTTAATTGTGTTCCCAACTTAAAACCAGACAAAAACTAAAATAATAAAGACTGGATTTTAAAAATTAAAACTTCCACCCCCAGGACAAATAGAGTTGGATAATCTACTAGTTGATGAAAAATGACAATGAAGGGGGAAGTTATCATCATAGGTGACTTGAATCTTCCTGATGTGAATTGGAAACCCAAATAGCTGCTTGTGCCAGGAGCCACACATATTCTAAACTCCCTACTGAGATTGTCTCTAAAACAAGTCATTGAGGAGCCAACTCGTAAGGAGGCCATACTAGATTTAGTGTTAACAAATGGAGATTTGGTATCAGATATTACTGTAGGTGAAAGTTTCGGATCCAGTGATCATCGGTCAATTTGGTTTACTATAAGAACAGTGACTGAGTCACACGAAACAAAAAACAAACATTTTAGACTTTAGAAAAACAGACTTTTCTAAAATTAGAATACGTGTAAAGGAGTCATTATCAGACAGGAGCAATTTAAATGGAGTCCAAGAAATTGGATTATTTAAAAGTTGCACTGCTGAAGGCAACAGAAAATTGCCTTAGGCTTGTCAGTAAAAGCAAAAAATTAAAAAAACCACTGTGGTACTCTGCAGATGTGGCCAAAATAGTAAAGTAAAATGTTAGCATTTAGTAATTATAAAAAAACAAAACAGAGTGATAAAGACAGAATGATAGGCAGTCGCTGAGTGACAGGCAACAGAAGGTTGTAGTCAATGGAGTATATTGGAAGCATGGGCTTGTCACCAGTGGGGTACCTCAGGGATCTGTGCTTGGACCCATTCTCTTTAATATTTTTATTAGTGATATTGCAGAAGGTCTTGATGGTAAGGTATGTCTTTTTGCTGATGATACTAAGATATGTAACAGGCTTATTGTTCCAGGATAGATAAACCAAATGGCAAATGATTTAGGTAAACTAGAAAAGTGGTCAGAGTTGTGGAAACTAATAGAGATCCAGGCACTCCTTGGTTCAAGACAGGCACTTTATTAGGAACCACAAGAGCAACCTTTTGACCCCAAAAGGTCTTTGTCAAGCTGATACATACATCAATTTTACAATATATATAACAAACTTTAAACAATCACAATTATATAATACACATGTGAATCAGTATCCCAAGCAAGTAGTTTAACAGGTGAAAGTAGTATACTACTTATCAACAATACTTTGTTAATTACATTAATTAGAAAGAGAGTCTAATACTTAATTGCCAATAATGAACGAGCTTTGAAATACTTATTAATTTGTTTATACTGAAAAAAATGAATACATTATTTTTATATGGATACTGACATAACATCCAAGTGTATATAGGACATAAAATACACATATACAACATAAATACAGTACAAAGATAAGACCAGAATATACAAGTACAGAAATTTCCATTATCGATTAGAAATCCTTGATCAAAATCACAAAGTATTAATATTAAGTATCCTTACCACATAAAACAGTTCACGTTCAAAGAGTTTTCATATATAGAAGAAAGTGTGTATAAAGAGATGGCCTTAAGTAGGTTATTTCCATTATCAATTAAAGATCCTTGATCAAGATCACAGAGTATTAATATAAAGAATCCTTGACACATAAGCTGTTAAGGATCCTTGCTTAGGATACTGATTCGCATGTGTATTTTATAATTGTGATTGTTTAAAGTTTGTTATATATATTGTAAAATTGATATATGTATCAGCTTGATAAAGACCTTTTGGGGTCGAAACTTTGCTGCTGTGGTTCCTAATAAAGTGCCTGTCTTGAACCAAGGAGTGCCTGGACCTCTATTACTTTACTAATGTTTGGAAATCTGGTGTTTGATTCCGGATCAGCAAGCACCCTGGCTCAAATTTGTGGGAGTGAGTGCAGTTCCACATATACTATTCAAGAGTTGTGGAAACTGACATTTAATGTGGATAAGTGCAAGATAATGCATCTTGGACGTAAAAACCCAAGGGCAGAGTACAGAATATTTGATAGAGTCCTAACCTCAACATATGAGGAAAGGGATTTAGGGGTGATTATTTCTGATGACTTAAAGGTAGGCAGACAATGTAACAGAGCAGCAGGAAATGCTAGCAGAATGCTTGGTTGTATAGGGAGAGGTATTAGCAGTAGAAAGAGGGAAGTGCTCATGCCATTGTACAGAACACTGGTGAGACCTCACTTGGAGTATTGTACACAGTACTGGAGACCGTATCTTCAGAAGGATATTGATACCTTAGAGAGGGTTCAGAGAAGGGCTACTAAACTGGTTCATGGATTGCGGGATAAAACCTACCAGGAACGGTTAATGGAACTTGACATGTATAGCTTGGCGGAAAGACGAGACAGGGGGGATATGATAGAATCATTTAAATACATAAAGGGAACCAATACAGTAAAGGAGGAGACTATATATTTAAAAGAAGAAAAACTACCACAACAAGAGGACATAGTCTTAAATTAGAGGGGCAAAGGTTTAAAAATAATATCCAGAAGTATTACTTTACTGAGTGGTAGAGGTTAACACAGTAAAGGAGTTTAAGCATGCGTGGGATAGGCATAAGGCTATCCTAACTATAAAATAATGCCAGGGACTAATGAAAGTATTTAGTAAATTGGGCCGACTAGATGGTCCGAATGGTTCTTATCTGCCGTCACATTCTATGTTTCTAATACATTTAGTGAATTTATGCTGAAACATTCATTATACGATTGTTGGAGTATTTTTAACCCAGGCTCAAGAGACTATACTTCTTTTTCCCATTTTCATCAGTCATACTCCCGTGTCGATTTTTTTTTTTTTTAGTTGTTGACCCCAGGATTGGTTGAATTATCGTGTCAGATCATGCCCACGTATTTATAACACTTTAACCCCCATATTGTTTTAAAATTAGAAATAGATGGAGACTAAATGACAGCCTATTTTTAATAGAGAAGGTAAACTCTGAATTAGTTACAGAACTCGATCACTTTATTAAAACCAATGATAATGGGGAGGTTTCTAAATCCACAGTTTAGTGCACTTTAAAAAGCTTTGCTAGAGGGGTCCTAATAAAAGCAGGTGCGAGACAAAAGAAAATATTTCTAATCTATATACTAAGTTGGCTAAACTAGAAAGAGTAACTAAGGCTCAAATAATCCAAATTATTACAAATGAAATCTCATCTCTGAAACAGGCTATCAATAAAAAAAATCTTGGATGAGCTGAATAAGTATATTATATTCCTTAAACAAAAATGGTATCACAATAACAAAAAAAGTTAGTAAAGTGCTTACGAACAAACTGAAAAACACTTCTATGGATAAAGCTATCAAAAAAATAATAGTAGGGGATGAGTGTTTTTTTTTTAAGCCCCAAGGTAATATCCTAGGTTTTTGTAGATACATATACTGCTTCATATAATTTACCAGACAGATTCCATGGTTACAAATTTGGAAATGGATGCAATTTTTAATAAATGGTCTATCCCGGTGATACCTCTAGTAAAACCTAACAAACACCCATAACCAATACGGAAATATTTAACTTCATAAAACCTTAAATCCAATAAAGCTCCAGGACCAGATGGCTTTTCAGCGATGTTTTATAAAACATTTGCAGACATCTTGGTCTCAAATTATTGAAAGTATTCCATAAAGTCTCTACTACCAATCCCTTTCCTAAGGAGATGTTAGCCTCTATTATTCCGATTCCTAAACTAGGTAAGGATCCAACAAATACATTAAATTAGAGCCCGATTTCTTTAATAAATTTGGATATTAAAATGTTTTCCCATATCCTAGCTAATAGAATGAAACTGGTTATTCACGATTTAATGTCGGTCGATCTGTCTGGCTTCATCAACGGATAACATGCGCAAAATACTTAATTTGACATTTCCACTTAGGGGTGTATTCACTTTTGTTGCCAAAGGCTTAGGCATTAATGGCTGTGTGCTGAATAACTTTGAGTCGACAGCAAATTTACACTGTTATACAGGCTGTACACTTACTACTTTACATTGTAGCAGAGTGTCATTACTTCAGTGTTGTCACATGAAAAGATATAATAAAATATTTACAAAAATGTGAGGGGTGTACTCACTTTTGTGAGATACTGTACATGTATGAAAGAGACTTGTCTTGCTTTTTTGCTGTCAAGATTTATTTTATTACCGAAGACATTAGGTAAGAAGTCTGATTGGAAAAAGCTCAAATTGTGTGAGGGCACATTGCAATTGGACATCTTTAAGAACCATTGGGCAATGCTTTTGAATGAACACTCTAAAGTTGCAAATGTATGTATGTATGTATGTATGTATTCATATCTTTATATATTGATATAGATTACGTTAAAATGTTCCTGCCTTTTAGGTTCAGGCCACCCCCATAGAAAATTAAATGACATTATATCCAGCACCATCCCAATGTTGCTGAGGTGAGCACTCCTCTGTGTAATACCATTTAGACAGATGATCTTGGCCACTTAAATGCCTCTCTGTACAGAATCATTGATGGTTCTGGTGTGCATGCAAGACAAAGGCTCTACAGTGAAGCAAGACAACTGCCTTGCTGCACTAATAGAATTCCATGAGACTTAATTGTTTTTGACCTCCTCATGATGCCAAAACGGAAGACTGTAGATTTGTGGGTCTACCTATAAAGTGGGTAGAACCATCCCTGACATACCCACCCTCAAGGTAGACCATGCACGGAATGCAGCTAAATTGCTCAGTGCATGTGCATGTACTTAGTGCCTTGTACCCTCCTGCATCATATGATCTACCTGGTAGATTTGAGGATGCAGGACATGTCTCCAGGACCTATTCATTTTTTTTATCCTGGAACAGGAGCCCAAAATGTAGGATTGCACAGGCAATATTAGGACTGTTGGCACTCTTTCCTGTGCTGAAAATCTACCTGGGATACTCTTAATGCATATCTAGTCTGTTCAATAAACAAAAAGAATTAGAGGGGCAAAGGTTTAAAAATAATATCCAGAAGTATTACTTTACTGAGTGGTAGAGGTTAACACAGTAAAGGAGTTTAAGCATGCGTGGGATAGGCATAAGGCTATCCTAACTATAAAATAATGCCAGGGACTAATGAAAGTATTTAGTAAATTGGGCCGACTAGATGGTCCGAATGGTTCTTATCTGCCGTCACATTCTATGTTTCTAATACATTTAGTGAATTTATGCTGAAACATTCATTATACGATTGTTGGAGTATTTTTAACCCAGGCTCAAGAGACTATACTTCTTTTTCCCATTTTCATCAGTCATACTCCCGTGTCGATTTTTTTTTTTTTTAGTTGTTGACCCCAGGATTGGTTGAATTATCGTGTCAGATCATGCCCACGTATTTATAACACTTTAACCCCCATATTGTTTTAAAATTAGAAATAGATGGAGACTAAATGACAGCCTATTTTTAATAGAGAAGGTAAACTCTGAATTAGTTACAGAACTCGATCACTTTATTAAAACCAATGATAATGGGGAGGTTTCTAAATCCACAGTTTAGTGCACTTTAAAAAGCTTTGCTAGAGGGGTCCTAATAAAAGCAGGTGCGAGACAAAAGAAAATATTTCTAATCTATATACTAAGTTGGCTAAACTAGAAAGAGTAACTAAGGCTCAAATAATCCAAATTATTACAAATGAAATCTCATCTCTGAAACAGGCTATCAATAAAAAAAATCTTGGATGAGCTGAATAAGTATATTATATTCCTTAAACAAAAATGGTATCACAATAACAAAAAAAGTTAGTAAAGTGCTTACGAACAAACTGAAAAACACTTCTATGGATAAAGCTATCAAAAAAATAATAGTAGGGGATGAGTGTTTTTTTTTTAAGCCCCAAGGTAATATCCTAGGTTTTTGTAGATACATATACTGCTTCATATAATTTACCAGACAGATTCCATGGTTACAAATTTGGAAATGGATGCAATTTTTAATAAATGGTCTATCCCGGTGATACCTCTAGTAAAACCTAACAAACACCCATAACCAATACGGAAATATTTAACTTCATAAAACCTTAAATCCAATAAAGCTCCAGGACCAGATGGCTTTTCAGCGATGTTTTATAAAACATTTGCAGACATCTTGGTCTCAAATTATTGAAAGTATTCCATAAAGTCTCTACTACCAATCCCTTTCCTAAGGAGATGTTAGCCTCTATTATTCCGATTCCTAAACTAGGTAAGGATCCAACAAATACATTAAATTAGAGCCCGATTTCTTTAATAAATTTGGATATTAAAATGTTTTCCCATATCCTAGCTAATAGAATGAAACTGGTTATTCACGATTTAATGTCGGTCGATCTGTCTGGCTTCATCAACGGATAACATGCGCAAAATACTTAATTTGACATTTCCACTTAGGGGTGTATTCACTTTTGTTGCCAAAGGCTTAGGCATTAATGGCTGTGTGCTGAATAACTTTGAGTCGACAGCAAATTTACACTGTTATACAGGCTGTACACTTACTACTTTACATTGTAGCAGAGTGTCATTACTTCAGTGTTGTCACATGAAAAGATATAATAAAATATTTACAAAAATGTGAGGGGTGTACTCACTTTTGTGAGATACTGTACATGTATGAAAGAGACTTGTCTTGCTTTTTTGCTGTCAAGATTTATTTTATTACCGAAGACATTAGGTAAGAAGTCTGATTGGAAAAAGCTCAAATTGTGTGAGGGCACATTGCAATTGGACATCTTTAAGAACCATTGGGCAATGCTTTTGAATGAACACTCTAAAGTTGTAAATGTATGTATGTATGTATGTATGTATTCATATCTTTATATATTGATATAGATTACGTTAAAATGTTCCTGCCTTTTAGGTTCAGGCCACCCCCATAGAAAATTAAATGACATTATATCCAGCACCATCCCAATGTTGCTGAGGTGAGCACTCCTCTGTGTAATACCATTTAGACAGATGATCTTGGCCACTTAAATGCCTCTCTGTACAGAATCATTGATGGTTCTGGTGTGCATGCAAGACAAAGGCTCTACAGTGAAGCAAGACAACTGCCTTGCTGCACTAATAGAATTCCATGAGACTTAATTGTTTTTGACCTCCTCATGATGCCAAAACAGAAGACTGTAGATTTGTGGGTCTACCTATAAAGTGGGTAGAACCATCCCTGACATACCCACCCTCAAGGTAGACCATGCACGGAATGCAGCTAAATTGCTCAGTGCATGTGCATGTACTTAGTGCCTTGTACCCTCCTGCATCATATGATCTACCTGGTAGATTTGAGGATGCAGGACATGTCTCCAGGACCTATTCATTTTTTTTATCCTGGAACAGGAGCCCAAAATGTAGGATTGCACAGGCAATATTAGGACTGTTGGCACTCTTTCCTGTGCTGAAAATCTACCTGGGATACTCTTAATGCATATCTAGTCTGTTCAATAAACAAAAAGAATAAAGATGGAATGGTAAAGGATTGGTGCTGAAATAATTTCATAACTCTAAAGTTAAGAGACACTATTGGCACCCAGACCACTTAATCTCATTGAAGTAGTCTGGGTGTTGTGTCCCTGTCCCCTTAACCCTGCATTTTAAATCATTGCAGTTTTAGAGAAACTGTAGAGTAAACATTGCAGGGTTAAGACTTCCCCTAATGGCTGTCTTCTTTGCATGAGGAGGTCTGATGTGTTGAAAAACCCATTGGAAAGCATTGATTCAATGCTTTGCTATTGGGAAGGACTATTGCGCCGATTGCACGAATGTCAACGGAGGATAAGCACCATCCAGCCCAGAGGGTAAGTATTTAAATAGTTATTTTGCCCTGTGCATAGCTTGGGAGGGGAGGGGCTCAGGAATGGGGTGGAGTGAGGGGAGGGGTCGGGGGGGGTGGAGTTGTGAGGGCAGAGGGACACTATGGTGTTAGGAGTACAGCTTTCTATTACTAACACTATAGTGTTCCTTTATATCAGTTCTGAAAGTTAGTTACTAAGAAAAGTTCTGGTCAGTTTCTTTTTTTTTTTTGTATGGGCAACCATTAAACTGAGATATTGCACTGTACTGAGTATATTAGAGCGAGATCATATTTTACTATAATACATTTCTGAAGTAATAAGCCCTGCAATAAAATCCATGGCTAGACCTTGTCTGGGAGCTAGAGATTGAGAATCTCTTATCTGACCCAAATTGAAACTGTGTGCTCAGCAAAATATAGCAATAGATTGTCACAGTTTCCCCAACAAGCTGTTCCATCAATTGCTTGTGCTAGCAGTGATAAGTATCCAAGCAGAGATTGGAAATACCCCTTCTTGAAAAAAAAAAAAAACCCTTCTTGCTATTACTGGATTTTTGAGTAATAAAGAGAAGATGCAGAAGCCTCAATATTGTGTGGTACAATTAAGCCAGCTTTTATGTCTGTAGTTACACAGTATCTAAAGTGTCCTGTAAATCAAGAGGGTTTTTTTGGTTTTGTTTTTTAACCAAACCATACAGCACTGCGGAATTTTTTGACATTTAAAAATTGGGAAGTGATGATAAGATTTACAATAGGTTATTTATAATTTTTTTTCAAATTTCTATAGTATTATAAGGAACAAAAGTTTTGTACAGTATTCTTGTCTCTACAACACAGTACATTCATACAATAGTTAATAAATATAGATATTATTAAATGCCATGGTGATCTTTACTAAAATGTGGATTGTAACATAATTAAGATATATATATACATTTCAAAGTGTGAAATTGGATTTTTCAAAGGTGTTTAGTTTTTAATAAAACTAAAGCAATACTCAAAGTACTATAACCACTACAGCCCTCTGTAGCAGTTCCCGTTCTAGGAGTACCCAGGAGCCATCCCATAGCAAGTAACCTACCCACTTTAGTATGGTTTGACAACTTACCTGGGCACCAGGCTCCCATTACACATTTGGTCTTCTCCTGTAGGAGAGCTAAGCATGGCAGATCCAAGACGGCAATTGCTGGATGAGGGCGCTCAGCTGATGCTCTCAGCCAATGAGCATGGTCCTACTTAGCTCAATATAGTTATCCAGATTCTTTTACGGGAGAAGCTGCAAAACTGAAAACAATTTGACTGCTTAGAGTGGGACTGCACCAGAGGGTTCCTGACACAATAACCACTACAGTGGGCTCTATTGGTAATCTTTCTTGGACTGTTCCTCTAAATACAAGTGTGACTAAGAAGCCTAAATATACCTTGGTATGTAGTCTCACTGCTAAGCTATCTGACATTTTAGCAACATTATTTCTTCAGGGAACTTCAACATCTGAGGAAAGGGATTTAGGGGTGATTATTTCTCGTAACTTAAAGGTAGGCAGACAATGTAATAGAGCAGCAGGAAATGCTAGCAGAATGCTTGGTTGTATAGGGAGAGGTATTAGCAGTAGAACGAGGGAAGTGCTCATGCCATTGTACAGAACATTGGTGAGACCAAACTTGGAGTATTGTATGCAGTACTGGAGACCGTATCTTCAGAAGGATATTGATACTTTAGAGAGAGTTCAGAGAAGGGCTACTAAACTGGTTCATGGATTGCAGGATAAAATTTACAAGGAAAGGTTAAATGAACTTGAAATGTATAGCTTGGCGGAAAGACGAGACAGGGGGGATATAATAGAAACATTTAAATACATAAAGGGAATCAACACAGTAAAGGAGGAGACTATATTTAAAAGAAGAAAAACTACCACAACAAGAGAACATAGTATTAAATTAGAGGGGCAAAGGTTTAAAAATAATAACAGGAAGAGATGGTAGTGGATGCATGGAATAGTCTTCCAGCTGACGTGGTAGAGGTCAACACAGTAAAGGAGTTTAAGCATGCGTGGGATAGGCATAAGGCTATCCTAGTTATAAGATAAGGCCAGGGACTAATTATTATTATTTTATTATTTATATAGCACCATCAGACTCCGTAGCGCTGTACAATGGGTGGACTAACAGACATGTAATTGTAACCAGACAACTAGGTTGCTAGAAAAGTATTAATTGAGGGCTTAGTAGGTAATTTTTGACAGTTGCAGGGGAGAAGTCATGGAGGGTGGGGGATGAAAAGCTGCTAACAGTTTAATTGATATGCTTTCTTGAAGAAGTGAGTTTTCAATGATTTTTTGAATGAGTGGAGACTGGGTGAAATTCTTACAGAGAAGGGAAGGGAGTTCCACAGAAGAGGTGCAGCCCTGGAAAAGTCTTGGAGGCGAGCGTTAGAGGTGGGAGTACGGACAGAGGATATACGTAGGTCTTTGGCAGAGCGTAGGGGCCTCGATGGGACATATTGTGTATTAGGGAGGATAGGTAGCTTGGAGCAGCATTATGCAGGGACTTGTAAGCAAGCACCAGAATTTTAAATTGAGCCCTATATCTGACTGGAAGCCAATACAGGGACTGACAGAGCGGGGAGGCGTGAGTGGTGCGGGCGGACAGGAAAATGAGCCTCGCCGCCGCATTCATTATAGATTGCAGCGGTGCAATCTAGAAACACGTAAGACCACTGAGAAGAGTATTGCAGTAGTCCAGGCAAGAGAGAACACTAATGAAAGTATTTAGAAAATTGGGCAGACTAGATGGGCCGAATGGTTCTTATCTGCCGTCACATTCTATGTTTCTAGGTTAGTGCGTCAAATCTTTGATTGTCACTATACACAATTATCTAAATATGATGATATTCTTAACTATTTATTTTATTTCTAGGACATTGCTAGACTATTACAAGAAAGGGAGGAAAAGAGGAGAAAGAATTATTACCCGTCATCACCAACCCGAGATGAAGCTAATCACACAAATCATGAAGGTAAACTATTTTATTTTGTCGCCTTTTTTTTTTTTTAGCTTGCCAAACAGCTTCTGGTGGTGTACAAGGCAGAAAATTGAAAGTACAATGGAAATTTTGAAAATGAAAATTAAAACACATTCATTAGCTGAAGTATTGATTTAAGTTGGAACAAATTCATTATCTTAATATTCCAAAGCCGTTTTTAAACTACTTTATAGAAAGTACATTAGTAGTCGTGGTTATTGTGAGGTGGTATATGACCTTTTTAAAATAACCTTAATAGAAAATTATTTTTATTTATTTGCACACAAAGTGGAACATATTTTTTTGTATAGGTTAGCTCTTTATATATCAAATGTTCTTTATATTGAGAATTTGTCATCTTGAATGCATAGTATTAAAAAGAACACTTTTTTTTTCACAACCATTTAATCTGTATAAAAATCATATATATTGAGGAAGTAGACCTCTCTTAGATCAAGCAGAAAGTCTTTTCACTTCTCATCTGCTAAATATCACGTTAAAAGCATTGCTTTCAATGGTTGCTTTTTTTTTTTTTTTTTCCAGATTGCATGTGTTTTAAACCTTGCCCAGAAATATGCTTTAAACTCAGTTTTCTTAAAACTTTACTAAACTGACATCACATTTTACAAATGAAAGGGTTAAAGACATTAAAATCTTGTTTATTCTAATTCAAGAAGAGTCTCTTCACTGATGCTATGATTCGCCTTTCATCTTAACTGATGACTTTATGTCAAATCAGATTATTCTTATGGCGAGGCATTGGGACAACCAACAATGCTTCTCACAGATAAGCTGGTGCATGTCTTTGTGAAGCATTCCGTTTTGAATCACAATTCAAAGTAAATAAGGGAGGAAACCCTCTTCTGTCTTAGGTAATACAAAGTATTTTATAAAAAAATACTGATTCCTCTTGAAATAAGCCTGTAGGTACATGCAGAGGTAACCCCTGAATCACTTACTCAAACAACTGCTTTAGAGGATTAGTGTAAGGTGTAGTTTAATGTTAGCACCTACTTCTTTTGAACATCTACGTGTCTTATCTTTTAATTTGTACCAGCGCATGGAAACACGGAAATTAAGTGCTCAAACAATGTGTAATGTGTGGGGCTATATTTAGGCTTAAAAGTTTCCAGTTGTTTACAAATTGCTAGTAGCAATATTAGCATATGGAAACCCCCTTAAAAAAGCACAACACACTGGTTCTCTGAAATGTATTTGAGTACATAGCATGTCTAAATTTAATAAACAAAATATGGTAAGTTCCTGTTTTGTTTTATTTTTTTTATTTATTAAATCAATTTTCAGCTTTATGGGTTTACTATGTGCAGCAGAGAATGTACACCTGTCATACACCTGTTTATATATATTTATATATATATATATATATATATATATATATATATATATATATATATATATATATATATATATATATATATATATATATATATATGTATTAAGGCCATTTGGCCTGTAATTGTTGGAGGAGCTTAAGATAATACACTTATCTATATAAGGGACACCCCTTACCTGACTCCATACCGCTGAAGGTCAGCATCTGAATGAGATCCACTTCCGGTTCATCCAGATGCCATTTTCAGAATACCTTTTCTGCACGAGGTCGTCCACGTTGAGCTGTGTCCAGGAATCCAGCCGCAGGCTTTTCCGTCCGACCAGCTTCTTGCTTCTTTCCATCACCGCTGATAACGTCCAAGTGACTCGCAAACCGTAAGTTGACCTACCCATTACGCCAGGCAACAGTCCAACGGCATTATTCATGGGTCAGGTCCTCGCTTTACGGTTATATTCATTTTCTAACTGCTACACTCTGACTGTCCATGCATCGTAAGTATATTCAGCCGTTTGTTTACACGGCCATTCATTCACATATATGATGATATGTATCTAGCCCCGCTCGGACATTCGCATACTCCCGAACGGGAAACCATACAGAAACTCTACTTTTATGCAAGGCATCTCCGTTCGTGCATTACAAACCGCACAAACGAAATCCATGTGTTCGGTTTTCAAATGCTATGCTCAGATGTATCTTGCCCCGCTCGGGCATCTGCATACTGCAGAACAGGAACATATTCAGTGTATATATATTTCATGTAAGGCATTGCATCCGTGTGTTTCACATTTTCAGCAATAAGGCTGCAGACTCCCGAATGAGAACATATTCAGTATCATTAATTCTATGTAGGCATTTCTGTTCGTGCCTTACAACCGCATGAATGGGAAATCCATGTGTTTTACCTTTCTGTCTTTCATTCGTTTCACTGTTCATGCATATTTCCTATAGGGGAACAGATTGTCACAGCATTTCCCAGGTTAAGCAGCTCACGTTTCGGGCTTAAAAAACCCTTGAACGGTACCACTGGTTTTGACCCACTGCATAATTACAACCTCCCAAACTGGCTCAGCTTGTATTTTGTTCCATACAGCTAATTACGGTCGGTACATTGTAACGGATCACCTGGCACCCCGACTGGGTACCTCCGTTGAAGGATGCTCCTAGCGCTTCCTGAGGACTCCAATCACTGCAGCAGACACCACAACCACCGAATCGGAGAACGCTGAACAGGAAAAGCATACAGCTTGTCACAATTCTTTTGCTTTCATGTACCAGGTGGTTGCAGCATCCCTGCTGACATTTGTCTCATTTAAATTCCAGGCATGTTCATCATACGCCTCCTACGGCCACTCCTTTGTTACAGAGCCTAATCATGGATTAGACACACTCATGCAGCATAGCAGGCACTATCCCACTTAGCACCTGCGTCCAATACTTGTAGGACGTACAACACAGCTTTCACCTTGCTTAAAGATTCTTAATGGAACACGACATATCTCAATCTTTGTCATGACATCTCTCCTATGTTTTGCTTCTTTTTGCCATCTTAAACTGGAACTATCTCACAACCATTAAATTATATTTTGACAGGCATTCAACGCCACATGCTAACCCCTTGGCCAAAACAATCATAATTCATGTCATCATACCAGACAAAGAATATACTCAGAGGTTTTTAGAATTCCATTCCCCCACGTACCTCTCAGAGATTAACTATAGCCAACCAACTTTTCCAATCCTTATCTGACATATTAGATCTACAACCACTTATTCTACTACCAATTCGGCCATTAACGGCCATGTTCACAGCCTTCTACGGCTGTCTCAGGCCAAGAGAGTTTACTGCCATCACCACCACTCAGACAGATCATTGTCTTCAACGATCCTACCTACGTAAACACATTGATCACTACCTATAGGCTCTAACACATTACAAACGAGTCAACACGCACCAACAATAGAGATAACATACTATCCTAACCACAACACATGGTGTCCAGTTGCGGTCCTAGATTCCTACCTTCAAAATCCTACCAGGAATTAAGCAATGCATTTAAGGAAATGTCTGGTTCATTGGTATATATTTGTTGACTGTATTAAATCTTTGATTATTCACTTTTGCCCTCTTAATTTACAGGCATATAGTATCGTCTGTCTCGGCACACCACAACCGACTTGCTCCTTTATACTATCCTACCTACGCTTAAACTGGAACCTTACTCCATATACGGCTATTTGCCCTAACACAAGTATTAAGGCCGTTTGGCCTGTAATTGTAGGAGGGGCTTAATATAATACACTTACCTGACTCCATACCGCTCAAGGTCAGCATCTAAATTACCCCCCCACCACTCCACATTCTCAACACTTTTTCCTTTCTTTACATTTACTTTTCTTTTCTTACTCCTTGGTGGGGCCTCTTTATTTACAGGCCTACCGTATTGTCGGTCTCGGCACACCACAACTGACTTTCTCCTTTATACTATCCTACGCTTATGCTGGAACCTTACTCCATATACGGCTATTTGCCCTTAACACAAAAAAAAAAAAAAAAATATATATACACACATCGTAGTAGCTTGCACTCCAAGAAGACTTTTGTAGTGCCCAGCAATGGATGGGATATGTATGGCAGCAAGTGAACAGTCCGTTCTTGGATTTAATGTGTTGGAAGAGGGGGGATTTGTGCAGATCTGAGTAACTTTAACAAGGGACAAATAGTGACAACTGGGTCAGAGCATCTCCAAAACGGCAAGTCTTATGGTATGTTTCCAGTATGCAGTGATTAGTACCTACCAAAATTGTTGCAAGGAAGAACAACCGATGAACCAGCATCAGGGCTATGCATGCCCAAATTCATTGATGCATGTGGAGAGCAAAGGCTAGCCTGTCTGGTCCAATCAAAAAGAAGAGCTAATATAGCTCCAATTGTCGAAAATGTTTTAATGCTGGCCATGATGGGAAGGTGTCAGAACACACAGTTTGCTGCATATGGGGCTGCATAGCCGTAGACCAGTCGGAGTGCCCATGGTAACACCTGTCCAACTCCTGAAAGCACCTTTAATTGGGATGTGAGCATCATAACTGGACCATGGAACAACGTAAGAAGGTTGTGTGGTCTGATGAATTATGCTTTCTTTTAAATTAAGTGGATGGCTGGGTAAGTGTGTGTCGTTTACTTGGGGAAGAGATGGCAACAGGATGACCTATGGGAAGAAGGCAGGCTGGCAAAGGAAGTGCTTGCTCTGGGAAATGTTCTGCTGGGAATCCTTGGATCCTGGCATTCACGTGGATGTTATTTTGACACGTACTATCTACCTGTTGTAGACCATGTACACCCGTTCTTGGCAATGGTGTTCACTGATAGCAGTAGCCTCTGTCAACAGGATAATGCACCTCCCATATTGCCAAAAACATTGTTTAGGAATGGTTTGAGGAACATAGTAAAGAGTTCAGTGTTGCCTTGGCCTCCAAATTCCCCAGATCTCCATCAGATTGACCATCTGTGGGTTGCACTGGAACAACAAAGCTGATCCAAATCCATCTTGCAGGAGTTTAAAGATCTGCTGATAAAGTCTTGGTGCCAGATACCACAGGACACGTTCAGAGGTCTTGTGGAGTCCATTTCTCAACACATCAGAGCAATTTTGGCAGCAAGGGGCACCTACACGATCTTAGGCAGGTGGTTTTAATGTTGTGGCTGACCAGTGTTTAATGTAGGTTTTGTGTTAGGTGTTTGGTACTCCCATAGACTTAAATAAAGCACATTTCCAAGAGGATAACAATAAATGCAGACTGGATTAAGAGGACAAAAAATAATTTAACGGAAAAATCAAATTACATTATTAATATTTGTATGCAAATTCTTTACATTTGACTTCATGCAGTCTGGAGGACATGAACATCGTCCGATACTAGACTTGGAGATTTGTTTCAAAACAAACTGCAGTTCGTACGAATTCGGGCAAACCGGGTGATTGGTCCATTACCTGAACTCTAAGCCAAAGCATACTCAAATTACAAACTAACTAACCATGTAATCTTGAACATTTTAGGAGGGGACCAAAGTTCTGAATTCTGCCCATGGGGCCAAAAAAAAGAGGTGACTGATGACTGGTCACTAATGTTAGCTTTATCATTAACATTTTTGCAAATAAATCATCATTCAGAAATATGGCAAATGAGTTGAAGAAATAGAAATTTATTCACCTGGTGCAAAGAACAGCGCTTTAAACAATGATTGAGGTGTGATTTCTATGTGTTCTATCTAGTATGTTTTGCATGTTTTCTTTCAAGTTGTATTAAATCTTGACTTACAATAACTACTGATCTAGTGTCTGTAGCCACTGCCTGACCTTACCTCTTTCTCAGCTGGGGCTTTCTGTGGCTGTCCAATCACAGACTTCTCAATGATTTGGATACCCGCTATATGAAGTCTTTGCATGGCAGGTGCTCTGTACATTTACCTGCCTCTTGAGTTTAGCTCCATTGAGCTAACCTACCAGGAAGTAACAGGACCAGCTGTCTGATTGAGGCATAACAATGTTTTTAAAATGAAGTGCCAACTTGTACTGAAATCTGCACATTTAAAACATAAAATAAGAGGACACACGCTTCACTCTTAAAGTACTACAGCAAGTGTTTTGATTTGTTTATAGGTGTTCACTTAAATATATAAATAAGTAAATATAGCTTCATAATTTCTGTGAATTGACAGTTCCCATTGAAATTCATTGCTCTCTTCAGCAAGTAAAATTTATGAAGCTATTTATTCAGGGTAGATAATTTAGCTCAATAGTCAGGGTTATTTCACCTCCAAAGCAACAATGCGCTTGTTTGGGTTTATCAGAAGAACCTTCATATGACGGTGAATAATTGAGTTTTAAGGCATTTGATTGGATTTGATCAGGTGAAATGTTTCTTCTAAAGTCATCCTACCATCAGCAGTCACATCAATCGAAACAACTGAGAATGTTCAGCAACAGATGACTGTGCCAATCTTTTACAGTACCACCAACCCATCTTACATATATGATGGTATATTTTATATTATGTTCATTTATTTTCTTTCTCCCCACCTTCAATATTTCAATCTGGTACAAGTTAATATGTCCATAACATTGTAGTGTTATGGAGATGTTTTTCCTTGCACTTCTATTCTTGGGGCTTGCAAGTGTTAAGTATGTTGTGGGAAAACCATCCATGGTACACTGATGTATCATTACCTACATCCTGCACAAATGCAACCAGTCTTCTCGCAGTCAAACTGTGCTTTCCCATGGTGCATCATACAATCTAGATTGCCCAGGAGCTGAAAATAATTGATGGGTTTAATGAGAGAAGCTGAATTTGCTTTTATGTTTTGATTGTTGTTTTGGACTATATATGGTGCATATGATACAATCTGTGGACTCTTTCCTGTGTTAATGTATTTTTGCAAATCTGTGTTATAGCTACATATACCAGCCTCCATACACAGTACAGTATTAAGAGTAATAAAATGAATAATAAAAAAAGATGACCGATACACAACTATTAGCATGTCAGGGACACTATAGGGGCACCCAGACCACAGGGACACTATAGGCACCCAGACCACTTCAGCTCGTTGAAGTGGTCTAGTTACAGTGTCCCTATTGCACTTAGTGCTGCAATGTAAAACATTGCAGTTCCAGAAAAGCTGCAATGCTTACATTGCAGCACTAAGTCTGCCTCCAGTGGCTGTCTACCAGACTGACACTAGAGGTTCAGATGCTCTGCATTAGGACATCCAGTGTCAGATTTTCCGCATAGGAAAGCACTGATTCATTGATTTAGTGCCCGCTCGTCGTGGGGCGTTGAAGGAGGCGGAGGCACTGAGGGACATTAACGCTGGCATAAGGTAAGTAAATTTTTACATTTTATATAAGTAAGGTACATTTTTAACCCTTTATTTACTGCGGTGGGTTGGGGGGCGTGAGGGAGGGGGCAGGCAGAATACAGCTTTGTATTCCTGGCACTTTCAGTATCCCTTTAAACACACTTCAAGTGGCTGCCCTTCTGACTGCCACTAGAGGTATATTTCCTTCAACAGGACTGAGCAAAACTCTATCCTGGAGTCAAATGCTGGTGATAGAAGTATTTGATAGAAGGAACCTGGCATTTAGCTATGCATGCCTATTTACAATCAAAAGCTTCTCTACATGAAGCATTGGTTCAGAACAGATCGTTGAAGATGTCAGCAGACATGTAGGTCATCAGAGCTGTCCTAGCACTGGAAACAAGGTAATTTTTAGTAAATGTTTTTTGTGTGTGTAGCAAAGGGGGTCAGGGGTGGACATTAGTGTGCAAATAATGATTGTTATTTTTGGAAGTATAGATTCTCTTTAATCTGGTTTCCAGGAGTGATGACTACCATTTAGACATTCAGAAGTTCACCTTAGAAGCATAGATGAGAGATGCTTTTATTTATTTAATATATATATATATATATATATATATATATATATATATATATATATATATATATATATATATATATATATATATTTATATATATATATAGTATTACCATTTAGTCTTCAGTAATAGGAACTATCTTGGAAATCCTTAGTAAATTATTTGGTACTTTCAAAATTACTTGTTCCATTTATATAAACTGGAGAGGTCATTTAGTTATTCACTAAAGTTAGAATTGCAGAAAATTTAAAGTGGTTTTGAAATTGATATTTCAAATTGGCAGACCTGGAAACATTCTTTAAGTCACTTATGTTTCCAGATCATCTACTTTGGGTTTACATTTGAAATGCAGTATAAATTCTCAACAATTCTCACTTGTATTAATTACCATGTGAGTGTTTGGATATCTTGGACTTGTTCCTTATATCGGGGGTGGCAACCTTTGGCATACCAAATGTAGTGGACTACCTCTGCCAAAATATTCTTACAGCCATAATGCTGACAAACAACAAGGGAGATTGTAGTCCACAACAAAAATAAGAAAGTTAACTCTATCTTAACAAGTTAAGTAATAAATAATAATGAATGTAAGTATGTATGTATTTATGTAATATAAATAATAGCAATTTGCATAGTAAGTACATAACATACATGCTATGGAATTTAGAGCACACATACAATCCTATGTGTACTTTTATTTCATTTCTGCACCCATTCTCACATTGATTATGAACCTCTTAAAATAATATCAATAACCAAAGAGGAGTTTAAGTGTATGATGCTGAAAAGTATGATCTCCTGCAATGTAGGTATATTTAGATAATTGATCACACTGATGTTTAAATGATCCTGACACTGCTGGAGAACACTTCCTCAAGAATTCACTGTTCTTCATACATACCAAGGATAGGAAGCAATGTTTATGTTCTACCCTTCCAGAAGAATGGACTTTTTTTCCCAGTAGAATTTGATAGATTGTACTGAAGTTTGTTGTGGTGTCTTTTAATTCCCTGTTTGTGGTGTTCCTTTATTGCTCAGGCCACCGTAAAGGTAGGCACAAGGAATACCGGGCAGAACATGATAGACACCATAGGCATGACAGACCTGAACAAGAAAGAATGGAAAGAAGTAAAAAGAATTCTGAGCACTCTTCGTCCAACATTGAGGTTAGAAGCCGTGGTCGATCAGTGGAATTGAGGCCTAATGGCAAACCAGAGGATGACTATGCAAATCACAGACCTGAAAACCATCACCACAAGTCCTCCAAAAAAAAAGATCGGCCCGAAAGACCACCACCTCCAAAGAATAATAAAAATGAGGATGTGGGTAATGACAAGACAAATGGAGAACTTTTGGATGAGCACCTGTCCAGAAGAGGCAGGTCTCAAAGCCGTGACCTTCCAAACAAAAATGACTCTGGAAGTGAGTTATATCAGGACAGTTCTAGTGCCAGAGATACAAAAAGTTACAATGAAGGTGATTATAAAAATGAGAGACACAGGAGGAGAACACCTTCTCCAAAACACAAGAGACATCCTGGGGATTCAGGTAACAGGTGTGGTGGTGGTGGTGGTGGTGGTGGTAGTGGTGTGATTTTGATCAAAATCTTCAAACTGGTGATTATTATTTTTATAATTTTTATTTTATTTTTGTAAAAAATCATGTTCACCAATTTTGAAAATCATCTTCATTCAACAATGTCTGTCTTTTTTTAATTGTACTGCAAACTCTTGACTGCTTTTTCTGAATTTTAGTGTTCATAAGCAAAAATTGTCCTTTTCATTTTATTGGTGTGTGGGCTTTTTGTTTGGTGTCCCATTGTAATGCAGATATTTTGCATCCTTTACTGTAACTGTGGAAGAGGCTCAAAGCTTTATATTTAAAATTGCATTTGTGGAAACATTACACTGTGACATTCAGTGAATGATAATACCATTGATCTGTTGTAGCAGGGCTAGATAAATATGGCCCTCTTGTGGTCTTTGTGCATACAACACCTATCATCCTTAACCAGTAAGACATAACAATGAGTGTTGTATTTAGCCCAACACCATCACTGTTGGTGTTGTGCATTTACATCCTATTCTGCTTCAGGTCACAAACTTTCCAAATTCTAGCCTTTATGACAAAATACAGATACACTGAGATATACAGTGTTTAAGATATGAAAACAAATCTGTTATAATTTATTTGCCTCTTGTACAGTTAGACATGGGGTAAAACAATTTTGATTTGATATTATCATAAAGTATTATTATTTGCAATGCTTTTTATTTTCAACTCCTAGGTCATCGACAAAGAGGGACACGTGATACTCCACAAACCAGACATACATCAGGTCCAAAAACACGGGAAGAGTATGATGCAGAGATTGCCAGGAAACTCCAGGAAAGAGAACTTAAGGTGCACTTATTTTGCTGTTTTAGACTGTTGATGACTTGCAATGTGTGTCTTCCTTGCATGCTTAAGTCTTTGGTTGTTTATAGGGTACATAGAAGTATTCCTTGCTTTGTTTATGCACTATATTGTACTCATGATGTACACATGTGTGGACAAACTAATGAGGAATCACAGCTTCCTCCACATCAGAACCCAACATTTTAAAATAAAGAAAACTGGGTGCTTTTAAAAAGATGTTATCTTCAAAAGGGAGGTGTAGTCCTGTAAAAAAGCAGTTATAAAGGGTACTGAACCTGTGAGTTTTTGGCCCTTCAATCTATGCAACTATGACTCTGGTATGATACATGATTACCGACAAGTTTATCTTAGAAATTGTTTTAGTTAAGTATTATACCTGATAATCTATGATTAAAGGGACACCATAGGCACTGTATCTGCTTCATCTCATTAAACTGGTTATAGTGTCTGGAGTCCCCTGGTACCATCATTTCTTTCAGCATTAAACAGTTTTTAATGTTGTAATGTTTTAAAGCAAAACAGGAGTCCACGGCAGTCTATCCCCTCTGTGCTGCTTTGGCTAATAAGGAAGTATTACCCTGAGAGGCAATGGGCAGCTGTGATTGGCTGAGTGTGTCAGCTGACTGCTTTTAACCTGTCAGAGCTCCAACTGACGGTATGAATGGGTATGACAACAAGGAAGTGTGTAATCTCTGCCTTAGCAACACATACAGAAGGGGCCGGACTGTGGGTGGTCAGGGACGCTTATGTTGTGGCATACTGCACAAACATGGTGCAACACTGAATGGAGGGACAGTGCCAGGCCACTACAGGCACTATAACCAATTGAAAGAGACAAAGTGATTATAGTGACTACAGTGTCCCTTTAAAGAAAGGCCCAGTAAAAAACAAAAAACTAAAAAAAAACGTGAGGGCATTGTGGAATAATTGTGGAATAAATAAGAAAAAAAATTAAAGGGATACTTTAGGCATCAAAATTTCTTTAGCTTTGGTGTATAGATCATGTCCATGCAGCCTGATTGCTCAATTCTTCTAGGAGTTAAATAACTTGTTTCTGTCAAGCAGCCCTTGCCACACCTCTTCTGGCTGTGACTGGCACAGTCTGCATGAAAGAAAGGTTTAATTTTCAATCCGATGTTAACTTGCTTTAGATGTTTTTATCTTCTGCTCTGTAAATTAAACCAATATATGCCAAGTTATCATTTTCCAATATCCTGAATTTTTCGTCTATGTATAATATTCTATAGCAAATGATAATGTATATATTAAATCGTAGCAGCCCATACTTCACAGGACCAGAATCAAAATAACTCAATCACTCTGCTGTACTGGGCAGGATATCTCTGCTTCAGACCTGGGCAGGGAGCAGTATGAGTTGTACACCACCCTTCTCCTGGAGAAATAGTGATTTCACTCATAGTCCTGGTAATGTTCCTTTGATTCTGGAGACTCCAGGTGAAAGCTTTCAGTTATGGTTGTTAATACCTACATATTAGACTTCAAATAATTTTTGATTTGTCAGAATTTTGGGTGATCGGTGGTTCTTCTACATTCCATAATATCAAAATTCTATATGGATGAACAATTTTATTTGGTTTAATTTATTGCAGTCTCATCTGTGGTGCAGAATAAAAAGATGACTGCTGGTTAGGGGACAGACACTAACTGTTGACTTTATTCACAGATCAATTGAGACATAACCAAAAGATTAGGGGAAGCAGTAAAAATAAATATATTATGTTGTGATGGAATGTTTTGGCCTGGGCTTTTGAATTCCCAGGATCTGATCAACTGACACAATTTTATTATTTTATGAACTGATCAGATTTTTCTGCAGTGCACCTGTCTATGTGTTTAGGTTCATTTTACTATGATCGTTACCTTTTTTTACAACATTTGCAGGGTTGTTTGCTAAGATTTCATCACCAGGAAGTGAATTTAAATTTTTAGGCCATTTTTATATTACTTTTTTAAGTCTGCTAGGTTTTCAGTTTGGCAATTTTGGCCTAAAATGTGAAATTTACTTTTTTAACAAATTGGGGCCATTGCTAATCGCCATTAAACTAGAATTATAACGTTGTTTTGTGTTCTTAATCTATCTATCTCAGGACTTGACAAATCCCAGCACCAGGTCACCTGGGATTTGTTAGCCCTTTCATTTAGATTTTGCTGGCCAGCTAAGTGAACATGAAGGCTGATGGCTAGCCTGATGAGGGAGCAAGGAGGTGGGTGGGTGGACAGGGTGCTTTCTGACTGAGCAAGTGGGCGTCCGGAATATAAATGGGTAGCGAAGGAGCTGAAATATGATGGCACTCCAACCCCGGTATCACTAAAGGCAAGGTAGCAGAGCAAGAAAAACTTGAAGATTTCAGCAGTTACACTGGTCTCCAGGGGCATTAAAAACACCTGCCTAAGATCATGTAGGTCCCCTTTGTGCTGCCAAACATTCTCTGATGCATTGAGGCATGGACTGAATGTGTCATGTGGTATCTCGTATCAAGATATTAGCAGGAGATCATTTAAGTCCTTCAAGTTGGATTTGGATTGGGATCAGATTTTTATTTTTTGTTCCAGCACATCCCACAGTAGCTCAATTGGATTTAGATCATTCCTGGACAAGGTTTGCATTGTTGCAGGGTGCATTAACCTGTTGAAAGAGACCATTGCCATCGGGGATCACCATGGCCATCAAGGGGTGTATGTGGTCTGCAACAATCTCTAGGTAGGTAGTACGTGTAAAAGTAACATTCACATGAATTCCAGGTCCCAAGGTTTCCCAGCAGATCAGTGAAAGATCATAACACTGCCTCTGCCGGCCTACCTTCTTCCAATAATGTATCCTGCTGCCATCTCTTCTTCAGATAAAAAAAGTGACAAGCACCCAGCCATTGACCTGCTGTAAATGAAAACCTGATTAATCAGACCAAGAAACCTTCTTCCATTGCTCCATGGTCTAATTATGATCATGCCCCCATAGAAGATGCTTTCGACGGTGGATAGGGGTTATCTTAGGCACTCTGGCTGGTCTGTAGCTATATAGCCAAATATGCAGCAAACTGCAGTGCACTATGTGTTTTGACACCTTTCTATCATGGCCAGCATTAGGTTCTTAGCAATTTGAGCTACAGTAGCCCTTCTGTGTGATTAGACCAGAAAGACTAGACTTCCCTCCCCACGTGCCATCAAATAAGCCTTTCGTGCCCATGACCCTGATACTGGTTTTCCAGTTGTTGCTTGCACCACTTTTTGTAGATACTAATAACTGCATACTGGAGATACCGAATAAGACTTGCCATTTTGGAGATGCTCTGACCGTCTTGTCCTCACTATTTGGCCTTTGTTAAAGTAACTCAGATCTTTTCGCTTGTCCATGTTTCAAACTCGTGAAATTCTTCAATCTTATTCACTTAACGTGTGTGTGTTATTTTATTTCTTTTAAAATGATTTCATGCATTCAGCTAGCCCAAAGGTGCAGATTATCAGTCTTTGTATACAAATCTTAACTTTTTTTTTTTTTATCCCATTAATCATAGGTGAATGTTGTGGATTTAAAAGCAGCACAGATGGCACAAGATGAGGTGAGTTCAGCTTGTATGTTTTAATAGATCTAGCCAAACTGGGAATACTGACCATGTAGTCAAATCTTTAAAAAAAAATATTAAAAATAAGTATTTCTTCTTCCACTGATAGATTTTTAAAAGTAATTTATGTTATATATGTTATACATATGATGCTTTGTAACTGTTTAGGTTACATATTTTATTTCAAACCCTGTTAAAAATGAAGATATGATTTAGAGGATAAAAGAAATGTTTGATTCTACAATATTCTACCACAATTCCAAAAGCTTTTCTTTGAATATAGAGATGTGGGAGAAGCCCATATTTTAATTTGTTACTTTTACAGTTTCCTTTAAATATTGAAGGAAATAAGTGCTTGTTGTGTGGTTACATCATACCTGGAAAAGCACAATTCATTATATTTCAGTACAAAAGAAAGACATTATTACAGGGGGAAAATTTTTTTTTTTCCACTTAGTCTGCCCACTTCCTTAAAAAAGCTCTATACTTGCATTTTCTAGTTTCATTTTATACCAAGCATGTTGTTTTTAAATGCCGTTTGTGCCCTCGATGATGGGTCACCTTCTGTATGAGTACAATATTTCAACAGCATGCTAACTAGTGCATAGCTTAATTATTCTACTATATTGTATAATAAATGTAAGGGCCTTGCTCCTGGCTTTGTTGACAAATGTCTTGGAATAGAATTGCAAGTTTTTATGGAAATACCAAAAGTGTCAAGCTGCCTGCTCTAAAAAAGCATGACTTGCAACCTGTGTGTCCAGACCCTGTCCACCATTCTTTGGTTTGTTTTTTTGTTTTTTGTTTTTACCAATCTGTGTGCATGCAGTACACTGATTAAACTCAGGACATTAAACATGTGCCCAGGGTGAATTTTAAGTGCTCTGCACATATGCGGATCTGAGTGGGGATGGACAAACAGATTGACAGTCACACTTAGTGAATGTCCATCAGGCTGTCATGCCCCGTTTTGGGTAGACGAGCGAGCCCACAATTGATGTCACTGGCATGCCCATATGAACCTACTTGTTTTCTGTCATAATTCATAACTCAAACTGTTGGATGTGTGTTGTATTTACATCAAAAAACACCTTGCAAACTAGTTTGTGTGTTTTCACATATTATAACTGATTTTCAGGAAATTGCTCGCTGGCTAATGGAGAAAGAAGAGAAGGCTTACAAAAAATCTAAAGGCCGAGAAAAGATGGACAAAAGAAGACCAGAAGAAAGGGAGGTGAGTCCAATTCACATGTTCATTATATGAAACAAGTTAATTAAATACAGTTTGCATAAATTGAAGGGGGACGTTTTAGAATTAATTTTATTGCAACATTTCATCATTGAAAGTTCTCATGTTATTCATGCAGGACTTTCAAACTTCAGTTCTTTAGCAAGTCCTATTCTACTGAGATGAATAAACAATAAATGTCCCTGTGTATTGTTCTGCTTCAATTTATTTAAGTGTTTTATTTTCAAGTGTGCTGAATCTTTAGTATGCTTAATATATAACTTGAAAATCATCTCATTGCTCATAAAAGACTTTGTGCTAACTTTGAAGCAGCTGTTTAAAAAAAAAAACAACACTTTTCACATTTTTTTTAATAAGCTATTCAGGTAGCTGTTCTAGACATTTCTTCTTTGATGACCCTCAACTAATCCAGTAGCTCCAGTCTATCCATAGGTATGTGCAGCATATTACATAAGGGTGTGCACCCAGAGAAAATTACTATCTAAACATTACTGCAAAAAAAAAAAAAAATAGAGAAAGAAATACAATATTTTTGTTTTATCTTTAGTGATACCAGATATACAGGGCTTTTTTTTTACACACATAAAAACTTGCCCAAACTCACGAAAAAGTGTCTCAATTTAACATGTTTGGATTTGCATTTCAAATGCTCGCAGTCTATTAAAAAAATACTTTTTAAGTAATTTCTCTACAGAAGTCCCCAATAAAGGGAGTCTCCACTGCCCAAATAAAACTAAATAATAGAAAAAAAAATCACTATTGCATAGATATACCCCATCAAAAATATGCTTGCATTTAATTCTGCGTTTTTGCATTGGGGGTATATCGAACACATTGTAAAAGCTACAAATCTCTTGTCTGAAGCCTTTGCAAGCCCTACCCTAACACCACTCAGACTCTCTGTGGCTGTCCAATCACAGACTTCCGAAAGAAATTAGAAATATTTGCAAAGCAGGTGTTCAGAGCAGTTGTCTGCCTCTTGAGTTTAGCTCCACTTAGCTAAACTTCCAGGAAGTAACAGGACTGGTTGTCTAATTGACAACCGTGGGGGATGTAACAAGTTTATTTACAGAAGTGCCAATTTCTATTGAAATGTGTAATTTTTGTAAAATTAAAAACAAAGACAAAGTCTTCACACATAAAGCTAAAGGGCATTAGGTTTGTAGAGTGTACCTTTTAAAGTCTTGAAGATAAATCAATTGAAAAGTTTTATAGCAGGTTGTGATAATTTGAAATGCTCATCCAAACTAATTAAATCACCTGGCACACCATTGAATCTGTTGATGTATAGTTGTGGAAATCCTTATAAATGCTGTAAATATACATTTTAAAGGATCACTATAGGGTCAGGAACACAAACATGTATTCCTGACCCTATAATGTTAAAACCACCATTTAGCCCCCCTGGGCCCATCATGCATCCATAAATATAGCAACATCTTCAAGCCAGAAGCTGTAACTCTGCATACTGTTTGCCTAAAAAAAACAAGCAGTCTGCTGACATCATCAGAAGTGGTAGCCTGAGCCAGTCAAAATGCTTCCCCATCAGATTGGCTGAGGCTGACAAAGAGGCAGATCAGGGGCAGAGCCGTCATGATTCAAACACAGCCCTGGCCAATCAGCATCTCCTCATAGAGATTAATTGAATCAATAAATGAGGAAAGTTCAGTGTCTGCATGCAGAGGATGGAGATACTGAATGTTTGGATGCATTTTAGGCAGCCATGACCCAGGAAGGATCTCTAACAGATATCTGAGGAGTGGCCATTGAAGTTATTACTAGGCTGTAATGTAAACACTGCATTTTCTCTGAAAAGACGGTGTTTACAGCAAAAAGCCTGAAGGTAATGATTCTACTCACCAGAACAAATTCAATAAGCTGTAGTTGTTCTGGTGTCCCTTTAAAGTTGCAATAAAACAACAATTAATTATGGGTAGTTGTTTGGGCCTAACCCATAGGGAGTGGATATTCAAGCCAGAGTGAGGAACAAACTAAACTAGCTGGGGAATCCAGTACTTAGTCATGAGCCAAAGGTAAAAATCTGTATTGTAGCAGATTTCACAGGCTTGTATGCGTGAAACTGCACAATATGAAGTGAAGAAGTGTGAGTAAGGCTTTAATGAACTTTCCCTTTTCTTGATATGCAGCCACTTTAATTTTTAATGTAAATTATGTGTTTTTCCTACTTGCTATATCCTAAATATTGTGATGGGTAAAATTCTCTCTCTTTCTTTAGCCACGTTCACATGAGCATACCCGTCTAGGAACAAGGGAAACTCAAGAACTCCACCGATCGAGAAGTGATAAACCATACAGGTACACACACACAATCCCTCTAAATGATAAAGATTTAATTTATAAAAGTGAATTTGTTTGTGAAAAGAGACCACACTTTTACAATTACTAATTTAGGGCTGCCATAACTGTGAACATTTTATAAAGACTGTAAGGGGTGGGATGTGAGCGAGATTTAGACCGGAAGGGATACACAAGTAGGGGAGAGGTGAGGAGGAAGACACTGTGATTTTAAAACCTAAATGTTAAAGGGATACTATAGTGCCAGGAATACAAAGCTGTATCCCGGGCACTAAAGCTCCCTCTGACTCCCCTGTTCTTTGTCCCCCCTACCCCTCCCCAGTGAATAAAGGATTAAAAACTTTCTTTACTTACCTTATTCCAGGCATCACAGCCTGCCTCCTCAGATGGTGCTTGATGAGAGGGCACTAATGTGCATGTGTGCAGCACACATTAGACCTCCCTATAGGAAAGCATTGAATCAAAAAATATGTTGCTGGATGTCCTCATGCATAGAGTAAGGACATCCAGCATCATAACCAGACCAAATGTCTGTTTGGATGCAGAAAGTGCCTCCAATGGCTCTCTGGGAGACATCCACTGAGGGCAGACTTAGAGCTACAATGTAAACAATAAGGACACTGCACCTAGACCACTTTAATAAGCTGAAGTGGTCTGAGTGCCTATAGTGTCCCTTTAAATAGGTAGGGAAAGAGGGAGGAAGGCAGTGATGGGGATACAATTAGTGGGAAATTGTGGGTCAATGAGCGGAGGCAAGATAGGAAGAGACACAAATTGAGAGACAAGAAGGAGGCATGAGTAAGGAGTAGAAAGTGAGTACTATGTGAAGAATGATGGCACACGTGGGTCCACGATGAGGAGAGATGCACAGGTGAGGGGTTGGTTAGAGGTGGATTTAGTTAAGATATATTGGATTGGGGGATGGGACAGAAATAGAGGAATCTTAGGGAATTTGGAAGGACAAATATATATTCCGAATTACACACATCTGAATTCACACACTAAACATAATTCAGTTGCATTCACACATAGGTATCCCAGGTAAGAGAACCTATGCCAGGTGGCCCTAAAAGGTGTAATGGCAGTCCGCCAACCAGAAAGGATTTTACAAAATCAAATGGGAAATATTGCAATGATCACTGATGCTGTGTTTGTTTTCCCTGTTTATCTCCTGAATACATTTATTGATTCAGTAGTGCTATATTTTTAGTCATGTTTTCTTTGTTGATTGCCAGGCCTCTTCCTCCTTCTCCAGATGAAGATGGTGAAGGTGATTATGACCGCGATTACATAAATCGTAATCAGCACTGTTCTCCAAGATCCAATCCTAAATCACAATCTTCTCATAAAAGTAAGTATGGAAATTATTTTAGAATATTTTCTTCAACTGAAAGTAAATGTTGTAGCAAATTTTCCTTTGATCTCGTATGTGTAAATGGATCACTATGATACAGTACTAGCTGTAACGGACTGTTTTGCACACAAGAGGTTAAAAACCGTTTAGGCGATATTCCCCTTTCAGATGTACAGGCAGCTACTGCAATCACCAATCTCCCGAACTGCAAACACACTAATTCTCCAACTCCCGAACTGGAACCATACGAATCCTCCAACTCCCGAACAGGAAACACACGAATGCTGTTAAACAGCCAAACAGGAAAAACCATCCGAACAGCTTACACTCCTGGCAGTCGCACTGTAACAGCATACAATTCAATTCCCCCCAAGAATGAGACGACACTTCGTTTGAGGGTCAAGAAGAACTGATTTACTGGGGCTAACTGCCCGACTTTTATGCAGGTCTCCCACCTGGTGGACACTCCCATAAGGGACCAGATAGGAAACTGGGACACAAAGGGTAAAAGGACCCTTACACATTTAAACAGATCCCACAATGCATTGCAATCCCTCCTCTCTGTCCTGGAGATAATTGGGAAGTAATCCAGTTATCTCCAAGGACAAAGAGAAAACTCCATTAGCCACATGTTAGTAAAAAGACAAAATTATACAGTGTTACAATTACTACATAAAACATATACATTCAACATATCCCCAGATAGCTTAGATCTGAGCGCACATTATTACCGAATGGCGCTCAGATCACATACATACAGTTCAATCGCCATGGAGCCAAAGTCTTTCTCGGTATACGAATGGGCTCCATGGCTTAGCTATCTGGGGTAAGACTGCACACATAGGGAAAATAAAAGGTTTTTACTACAGGGCCATAGTCCAGCGGCAAGAGGTGGGCAACCAGGCTCCCCAGTGGCCAGTGGTGAGGTTGGTTCCGCCACACTAGCCTTCAGATAAGAAGTTTGAGAAGAAATTGAAAAGGAAGCGCTACACAGTGCAGTGTTTATGTGATTTTTATGCTGTATTTTATTGCCACCCAAACTGTCCCACTTTAGCATACGAGACTAAGCAGTATCAGCCTCTCTTTTTAATATTATATTTTTCCGTAGTAGTTTTTATGGACATAATATGTACTGTATATAAATGGAGAAGTGTATAAGCAATGGAGATATGTATCTGACAAATTGTATGTGTATATGGAGATAAGCCAATAGAGACAGCAAGAAAATAGTGGAAACGGACAATAATACAAATGGACGTTCTTTATAAACTGTGATTGATTGCATGACTCCTAAATCGTATTGCATTTTTAACATAATTTGTTTTTAAGTATATATTTGATTTAACCCTTGCTAATAATTCTTGACGGACTTTTTTAGTGTTTTAATCTGATACTTTTATCAGATAACACATAATTGTGGTGCTGTCATTCATTTTTTTTTTTTTAAATCTAGGTATATATTTTTCACACTAATGGGGCAATGTTTTGTCAAAGCTGTTATACTGGAGTAAGTTGTATTTACATATATTAGATTTCGATTTTATAATTTTATAATGTTTTTGATTATTTATTTAACTGGAGTCATAGGTGGGCAGGCAAGTGGGACAGCAGGCAAGAATTGTGCAGGGCAATCTAATATTTTTATCTTTGCTTTTTTTAAATATGATATTTTAATATCATAAATTTAAAATAATTATTTTAGAAATGAAAATTTTAAAAGTTTTTTTCACATAATAATAATTGAAAAGCTGATCTAAAAATATTAAATTGACATGTGGGTCTGCATTTTAATGTGACTTTACATCATATACTGGGTATATGTGACATTATTTATTTATTGTTTTTTTTACAGGTTCTTATTACAGACCATGACAATGGATGCCAAATTGCCAGTGATGTTCACAAGCTTGTGGAGAGTTACAAAAATATGTCCATGTTCCAGTTATCTTTGGGAAAAAATTATCAAGAAACCTCTGTTATTTCCCAACCCGTATGTCTCCATCTTCCGAAGTAACCTTAAAGTGTGACAAATCTTGTGCAACATTATCTGGTTTTGTGCAGCTAATCATGTTAATCTTGTACAAACATCAGTGTCTAGAAATTTGTTCGAAAGTATATCAAAAATACTATTTTTTTTTTTCCGGTTTCTGCAAGCAGAATGAAGGGTCAGTTGTGAAAATAACAATTGTTCTTTATTTGTTGGCGGGTACTCTTACATGATTGTGTTTTCTGCCTAATACACATACTTGCAGTGTTTAATACTTATGGATTCATAAAAAACTGGAAATGATCTATGAAATAGTAGGGGAGAAAAAATACACCATTATGTGGTCTTAGAGTTGATTGGTAAAAGGTATATTTGCTCTAAATTGCTTCCATCGCTTCCATCAGATGTATATATTAATGGTTATTTACAAAGAGAAATTGAGGGTTGTACTTTTGAAAATGGGGCAGTCCCAAAGAAAACTAGTGGGGTGTAACTCCTGACTGCTCCACATTTAAAACTCACAATTGCTTTATATAAATAAGCAACCATCATTCTACTTATTGAATGTGGCATGCAATTACAGATATTTCCAGTATATATTGTATTCATACCAGACTGAATACAGCCATTGAGATATATTCGATCTAGAAAACTCAATAGTTATTCGGTTGTATTCTGTTGTTTTTAAACAGGCAATGACTGTATTACATTTAACTGTCAAATCTCAGTTTATGACCGTAAGGAAATCTCATTCATATATCCTCAGGAAACTGCTGCAAAATGGACAATGCAGTGTCATGTTCATCATGAGTGATAATTCCTCAAATGCCTATATCTAGTATTAACAGTAAACTGCACAATGTTTGCGAAAGTATATGAAAAGTGCCATTTTAAAATGTTTTTATATATATTTACTTTTGTTTGCTTATTGATTGGTCAGATTTTTGTTTTTGTTGTTTTTTAAAAGATAGCTGTAGATTACCATGTTTTCTTGTTTTTTTTTTTTTTTTCTTTTATATTTATTGTTACAATTAGATTAGACAAACTGACCTTTATTAAACTAACATGTTAAACAGAGTTTGATGCCAGGAAAGTGGACAACTGACTGCAATACCCAATCATACCCCTGGGCCTCAGAAGGTTAAACTTGGCTATTTTTTTTAGGATTTTTAATCATTGCAATTTATTTTATTTTTAAAATGCTGCAACATTTCCATATGGAGATGATTTACTTACCTTTTCTGCTAGGTTACTTTTTGATGAGAACAGGCGATCTCCGGATCGCTTCACCCGTAGAATTTAATAATTCTGACTTCCTATAATGCAATTTGTAGTTCGTAAGGCCATCCAGTCTAATAGTTACCAATAAATGCTTCAGGGTTTGCTGTCTGTGACTACAGTAAAGCCCATGCCTCCCAAAGTAAATGGCAGAATCCATTTACTAATTTTCCACTAGAAGATTTTTGCTATTTAAATATCTTTTTTTTTTTAATCTATGGTTTAATTCATTGCTGGAGAGCAATGTTGTGTTTCCCCCTTTCCTGGTATTTTATGGCCCAAGTTCAGTTCTTAATGTGGAAATGGGTCACAATTCATCTGATGCTTGCTGCACAAGTTATGCATTTAATATAGCTTACTATATGTGTAGAGGGCTACAGTATATGTTGACACATTTTAAATAATACATTGGATCCAAAAAAAAGAAAAAATATATAAATATTAAAATATAAATAAGTACAACTTCTGTAGGGCGTGATCTCAGGGCAAAAAAAAGCTTCGGAATAGAACTGGTTATTCACTAAATCAGAAATTTTCGATAATTGCCAAAGGAACTGCACATTTTATGGCAAAGTTGCTAAACTGGGATACCTAGAAAGTGGTTATTGTTTTCAGTTCAGCTGTTTTGCCTAAAAATGTGTAATTCATTCAACGATTCTGCGCAATTCCTAATTTAGTAAATAACTCCAAACATTGCCTGTTGTGTTATGTTTCCAGAATTCTCTGTTACAGAGAGCAGCCTAGATAGTGTAGTTTAGAAGCTTTGTGTGATTTCCCTTTTCATACTGAATCTTGGCAAAGTTTTGAATGGATAATTTTGTAATTCATTTACATTGGTTACAGCAATGGTGTGATTTAAACTTGGCTTCCACGCTGTGTGAATTATGAAAGATTTCATCTGCTAAATGTAGGTCTGTCTTTATGTTTAACTACACTGTGTAGGTAGCAGCTTGGGAATAAGTACACATTTTCAAATGACTGTTTTTTTTATTCAATCTCATTCACCATCTGTACATATAATTGCACCGATATTATACCATTGTGCCAAGTTATTTACATAGCATTGACCTTTTTATCTTTTAGTTATTGTCCAGATAATGGTTTTATTCAAAAGGCATATTTACCTTTTTTTTTTTTTTTAACTTAGATGGGACCCTCTCTTTTGGAGGTGGGGAGAATAGCAGAGCTTAGAGGACCACAAATATTGCCTATCTTGTCTGTTTGCTACACTGCATATACACACATGCTATGTGCAATACAAGACGATGTGTACTCAAGTAGCAAACAGAAAGTGTCACTTTCTCCATTTTTGTTATTACACAGCAGGCTTACAAATACAAAGTTACAGCCATCTATTTGCATGTAAATGTATTCAAGGCTATAGTTGTTGGAATAAACCTCTTTTTTCAAGGACATAATAATAAATGAAGAATTGATCAGTGAGAATTATAATCTTCATTATGGGAAAGCTTTGCTTGTTAAAACTGTAAAGCTAAATCACCTTTCTCAGGGTAAATCCAACAAACTATTTAGAGAAAGCAAAAGGCAATTAAATAGACAAGACCGTGGTTTTATGCGCAGGATTGTGCTTTTCATTATGTAATCCTTGCAAATAAATCTTATTCTATCACTCTGTATTCTGTTGGGGGAAACATAATTCGCTGATGTGAAGGGTGGCAAATCAATGGAATCACTTTTGGATCCCCTAAAGAGAAATGGTTATCTAGTGAGAGCTCAGTGTAAAAAATAATGAAATGCTTCACTGCCTAACGCAAAGAGAGCACAAATCAGAAATGCCTATAATTTCTCAATCAATGCAGCACATGAAAGAAAATTGCATCTTTATATTTTTTTTTACATTTATTTATTAGTCATCCAATGCAGAGACCCAGTAATGATTTATTTATTAGTCATATAATGCAGAGATCATATAATCATTTATCTAAAAGATACAGAAACCATTGTACGGGTTCAGATATTTTACTGTCGGATAAGAGGAGTTTCGTGCCAAAACTGCACAACATGTTAAATAGCACAGTTTTACTAAACCGTATAAGGACTAATGTGGGTAACCTTGTTAATCAGCAGCAGTGTAGTTGTCTGCATTTAAAGACAATCCTTGTTCATGGCCTATTGTGATTTTAAGCTGTATGCAGTATGTGTTTATATAAAATGGTGTACATACACTGGTAAAATGAAACAAAAAAGTGTAATATTTCTTCCCTTGTTTTATAAAGAGAAACTATATTTTATATTTAATTTAGCAGTGCCTCTAGCTTCAAATAAAACCGCTATAAAATGAATCTATTTTTCTCCTTATCTGACAAAATTGGCTTCCAAAATAAGCCTCCCATATTCTGGCATAAGCAGAGTGCATCTTAGGAATTGTGTGTAGGTATGTTTGCATGCCTTGAATGTATTTCATGCCCTCTATTACTAACACAGAAAATTTGGAGGGGGTAAATTTAATTTTTAATAGTTTTTATGCATAGAGTTATTCCGTTATCTTGTATTGATGGAGAAGCTAGCAACAGCAAATGCCTTCCAATAAGCATTCGAAGTTAGTTCAACTCCTCTGAATTATCATTCAATGTCAGATTTACATAGAATGCCCATAACCTGATCTATGTCTTCTAATTGTGTGTGTGTGTGTGTTTATATAGCACATTTTTTGGTTGTTGTCCATTATTTGCATTCTTACTTTTGGTATGATAACAGCCCATTGCTGTTGAAAATGCTTTAAATTAAATATTTTATATTTAGCAGGGTTGTTCACTAAATACAGAATATTATCAAATTAGGCGTTGATTTAATATTGTTGGATACACATTTCAAATGATTTAGAACAGTGGTTCCCAACCCACTCCTCAAGTACCCCCTAACAATCCAAGATTTATGGATTATCCAGAGAGAGAGAAAAAAACCTTTAGACACAACAGGTTAATCCCTAATTCCTGGACTGGTAGGGGGTACGTGAGGACTGTGTTGGGAACCCCTGATTTAGATTATTTATTATAGTGAGAATTCAAAGTGAATTTCAAATTTAATTCTGGAGAGCCGTGATGTGTTTGTATATTTTAATCTTAAATTTAAAAGTCACTTTGAAATCACTTTTAATTCTCACTTTAGTGAATAACCGTGTGAATGTTTTTGGAAATATTTTTCAAATATTTCGTTTTAATATTGTAATATAAATGTATCAAATTTTTAAATATTTTAAAATATTACAATAGTTTTCAAAATATAAAACCATTTTAAATGTTTATCTTAAAATATTTGAAAATTGTATCTAAAAATATTAAATTGGGGCCTAAATCAGAATTTCAAAATGTCTGTTTTTGTTAATATTACCCAACTCCATTCTATTCACAGTTTGGCTATCAATAACAATTTTTTGCCATTCAGATATAATGTGCTTATACGTTTATTTTTAACTTGAATGTGTATTCTAATTGTTTTGATGAACCTAAAGAAAGTCTTGGACACAAGTACATATTGAATCACTGTTCTATTTGTTCCTTTCTTAATCACAGTTAAACTTTGTTTTATCATGATCATTTTGACAGGACTTACCATGTTCATGCAAAATTCATTATATGCATGTGGTAGATTCCTAAATGTAATATTTGAAAATAAATCTATTAATTTGGTTCAAACCCTTTCATACATTCTTTACATTTTGCTTTAGCTTTATGTAGACACCTTGTATATTACAATTATTCTTGCTCATTGTGGCAGTGTAAGAATTTTAATTTTTTTTCGAATGACAATCAGACAATGCTGGCTTTGCTTTAAAATATTTACCAAGTTTTATTAAGGAAGGAGTACTGAGTTTGTTGAGTTGTCCAGCAGGAAGCTGGAATATTAAAAGACACACTCCTGGGTGGATTACCTCAAATCTCTAAGTTTTATATAGATAGTGCATAAAAAAATGCAACATAAATTGTTTTTCATATCCTTCATTACAGCAAATCCCCAGCATCCTCTACTTCTAGTGTGATATCCTTTGCAATCAGTTTGAAATCCATACAGCAGTGCACATGTGGATAAAAGAAATGTATTAAAATGCAAGTTAAAGGAAAAACTATAGTGCCAGGAAAACAACGTCCACAGGCCCCCTCTCCCCTCATTGTGCAGAAGGGGATAAAAACCCCCTCTGTCACTTGTCATATTCAAGCGCCGATGTCCCTCAGTGCTGGTTTGGGCTCTGCCTCCGCTGCTCTGCCATGCTCGCATTAGGACTTCCCCCATAGGAAAGCATTATATAATGCTTTCCTATAGGGTTTTGGGTGACGCTGGATGTCCGAACATAGATTTGAGAGATTCCCTGCTCTGGTGTATAAATACATTTTTTATTTTATTTTATTTTTTACTTTTTAGCAGACTGGGGGACTGCCTGACAGCTCAGACAGTCCCCATGCTGGCATCTCCTAGAGTCCTATTGCGGCGATCACATGGACCGGGGTGGCCAGTCCAGGTAAGTCCAGTGCTCCTATTTGCTGTGGACATACTAGGTACATCCGTGGTCCTTAACAACTGTTTTTTGTCAGACGTACCTAGTACGTCCACGGTCATTAAGGGGATATATATATATATATATATATATATATATATATATATATATATATATATATATATATATATATATATATATATATATATATATATATATATATTTTTATATATATATATATATAAAATTTCATTCTAAGTGTATTATGATATAAATGTGTATATATATTAATATCAAACAGTTAGAATAAAATTACATATATGTATATAATGTTAAAATTATTTTTATTTTTTTAAACTTTAATTTATTTAATTTTTACTTTTTGTTTTATTTTTTCACCAGCAGGGGGACTGCCTGTCAGTTCAGACAGTCCCCAACCTGGCAGCACTGTGGACACCTATTGCGGCCATGTGACTGCTCTTTTATAGCGATCACATGGCTCCTGGGGGTCCTAAATTGGAGGGGGGGTAGGGACTGTCTGGGCTGTAATACCCATAGAGCAGTGGGAAGCGAGATCACTTCCAGCGCTCAAATTTACAGCGGATGTATGAGCTACGTCCGCGGTCCTTAAGGACTGTTTTTTTTATCAGACATACCTCATATGTCCACAGTCCTTAAGGTGTTAATTAGTGGTGTAAACTGTTGTGTAAATGAGAGGTCAACTTAAAGGTTTCACTTCAGAAATTAATGTAATCTTGCTGTACAGTGGAACCTCAGAACTAGAACGCAATCCATTCCAGAAAGCTGTTCGAGAACAGTTTTGTTTGAAAACTGAATCAGAATTTTCCATAAGGATTAATCCGTTACAGACCCCTAAAATAACATAATTTTAACACAATTTTTTATAGTTTAATAATACCTTACATGCATTTTTTTCTGTACAATATATACATTTAAATATGTATATTTATTTTACTGCCCCTCCTTTTTTCACTCTTTTTTTTTTTTTTGTTTTACATTTTCTCCACTTGATCTGTAAACCAAATAGCAGGAAATTGATCCTATCAGTGTACGGCAACATGTATACATAATATAAACTATGATCGGCCCAATGTTTCACCCTTCTGGCTCTTCTTATTTAGCATCTGAATTAAATTTTTGGTACCAAATTTCTGCTGAGCCAAACCAAAATTCTGTTGAAATTTGGGTGTCCCAAAAATTTTTGTTTTTGGGATAAATGGTTTGGCCAAGCTAAAATGTTGTTTTTGTGCACAAGTTTTCTAACCACCAGCAATGCACTATATCTATGATATATATCAAATATATAGTTTTAGTTGGGCCCATATGCAAGGTTTTCTATGGATTTTTTTGGTGGCAAAATATTTGGGATCTTGCAATATATTTGACAGTTTTTAGTTTTTTCTCTTTTTGTCACACTTCGTGTAAATGAGTAAAGAAATTGTACCTGTATTTTCACACTAATATATTTCAGAAGCAGCCTGGATAGTTAAACACGTAATGATACTGTACAATATCTAATAATGCCCCTGATTATTTTCGTAAGATCAAACCCCTAAAAACCAATCTACATACATGCAACTGTGTCTGACCACATAACATGGAAACAAGATATTTGCTGTATTATCTATATAATAATGCATATACAACTTTAGGCAACAACATCCAGCAGCATCCCTTTAAATTTTATTTTAGTTTTTTTTTAACATCAGAAATTTATATTTTTAATTCATGTTTTCTTAGTTTTTATAAACATTGATGTCAAATACCAAATAATCATTTGTTTTTTCTTGTTCCATTTTATCTTTAAGTATTGTACATTACTCAATATTTCATTATACCATTCCTGGGGAATTTCATTTTAGCCTTAGTAAACTAGATATCTTGTGAAATTCCCCCATCAGTCATTCCAACTCTGTGTGCTTACTATTTTTAATTATGCAGAAGACATAGGATATCAATCTTTCTCATGTAAACTAACAACCAAATAAACCATTTACACAATAGGGCACTCTCGTGGGGGTAAGGGGGGGGGGTCCATCTAGGTCACCAGTGTAAAATCTCAGTTCACCCAGGGATTCCATATGCTATGATACAGCTCAAGATTACCAAGGTTAGTATATACCGCTTTTTCCATCAAACTTTGACAATTCACCTGAATTTGTATCTCAGTCCAACAAGGGATTATAGATGTATTCCAGCGTCTAGCGATACAAATCTTTCCTGCCACTAGAATTTGTATAGCCAGCATATGAAAGTGTTTATGTCCCTTTAAACTTTAATCAAGAGTGTGTGTGTGTGTGTGTGTGTGTGTATATATATATATATATATATATATATATATATATATATACACACACACACACACACACACATTCATGTATATTAGGCTTGTGCGCTGCCAAAATTGTCATTTTGTCTGAATACTTGTTTCATCTGAACCCAATTTCATACATTTGTTAATTTGTTTTCGGCCAAAATTTGCCCTTTATTTTCATTTAAGAATTTCATTCAAATTAATGAAATTCAGATCCATCTTGCAGCCATTTAGTAGACCACTTTCTAAGTTGGTAGTCTTGTGGGATTGCAATATTTAAGGGTATCAAATAAGGGAGCTGTTTCGTAGATGGCTCAGTTTTGGTTTTCTTAAGGCTATCCCACAAGGATTAGGGAGCTATCTACTAAGAAGCGGAGACCAAAATTATGATTTTTGTAATTTTGGTCTTTCAGTATAACGTGAAAAATACTTAGTATTGGTTAATTCCTTCTTCCTTCCCCTACCTGCCATGCCGCCAATTACGGGCATGTCTGCTAAAGAGTGAGCGGCCCGCATCTGCTTACTGTAAAAAAATTAAAAAAATAAAATATATATATATATATATATTTCCATTTTATATTATGATAGAGCCTTTAGCCAGTAGCTCCCTCATTGTAATATAAAATGAACTAATAAAAAAAAATTGCAGAACAAAATTTCGTCCAACAAGCAATTCGTTCATTTCATTCTCTACAATTTGAATTAATTCATTAGTCTTTCGGCTTAATGGATGAATAGCCAAAATTTCATGCTTGTATGAGTTTTTTTTTTTTTGTTTTTTTTTTAAGTTCATTTTATTCCTGATTTACCAAAAAATTTGTTTTCAAATGTTCATTTCAGCAATAATTAGAGATTAGAATAGCTTCTGTGGCACTGCAAACAAATCAGGATATTAGTGTTTTATGTTGTTTCTCTGTTAATTGGAAAGTGTGTGATTGTATTTTGTGCCATTTTATATGCAAATTCAAGGCTAAGGACTTCATTGACATTAGTGCAAATACTGTGACATAATATCCTTGATTGCTTTAATCGTTGATGTAAATAAGAATTTTGTAACTTGGCGAATGTAGGCTATTGAGCGTCTGGTCCTTGGCTTTGAAGACTTTCATGAAAATGTATCTGGAAGCTTGAAATACACATACAAACTGACTTGGGCAATGCATGCCCAAGTAATTTAATTAACTCTGTGAAGGAGCCTAAAATTTAAATATGCCATGGAAGGGTTAATTGCACTGCCGCTAAATTCAGGTAGCTATAAAATGCATATTGGTTCCCTTTAAGATAAATTGCACACTTCCTATAATTCATCTATGCAATTACTTTTTTTGACTGTTCATGCTACGTGTGAAAGATTTAATATGTCAAAATAATTTTTAACCAAAGCATCATGTTTTGAATGTATCCACTTTATTTATCTCAAACTCGTGGATGTTAATTGAATGTTATCTGTTGCTTGTCTTGTTCAATAAAGCATATTGGTAATATTTTGTGTACATTGATGTTTTTGTTTCAGTGAATATTCCTGTAAAAGGTAACCTGCCAAATAATACATTTCTTAAATTGATATAAACAATATTTATTCATTTGGCCTATGATGTGCCATTACTTTTAAAATGATGGGGTTCTCTGTCAGAGATTGCATGCAAAAGATATTATGTTGGTTTAAAAATGTAGGTTGTTCTTCATGCAGAGATGTATGCACCTATGCTTATACTGACTGATAAATATTGGTTAATATATGCATTATTGTCATGTATAAAAAGGGGCATTCATTCTCGGGATGAGAATATCATTTTGCCTCTTTATAAATCACTGGTAAGACCATACCTTAAATATGCGGTGCAATTTTGGGCACCTCTTCTACTGAAGGATATTATGGCACTAGAAAAAGTGTAGAGGCGGGCTAACACAATTAATAAAAGAAATGGAAAATTTTAGTTATGAAGAAAGGTGAACATATTTAAATCTCTTTAGTTTGGAAAAAATAGGGGATATGATAACTTTATACAAATATATTCGGGGCCAATACAAACCACTGTTGGTAATTATAAGGCATTTGATTTGATTAAGCTAGTTACTTGCTATTGATTGCTGGTTAATTAGCTATTGTTTGCAAATAAGCAGAGGCCTACCCAGGTGTTAAACATTCCTAGTGGGTGGTGATTTAAGGAGTTATATAAGGCTTGGTGTCATTAGCTTGTCTAATATAGCTTGGTGCTACTTCTAAGTGCTGTTTCTAAGTGTGTAGTTGGAGATATTCTGGAGAGTTTTACAGAAGCTTCAACTGTCTAAGAGTTGTGCTAAGAGCTTTCTTTTCTACTGTTACAGGTAAGATTCATCTGTAGGAAAAGGTTACTGATTGCACAAGGTTTGAATTCCTGTTGGTAATTATAAGGCATTTGATTTGATTAAGCTAGTTACTTGCTATTGATTGCTGGTTAATTAGCTATTGTTTGCAAATAAGCAGAGGCCTACCCAGGTGTTAAACATTCCTAGTGGGTGGTGATTTTAGGAGTTATATAAGGCTTGGTGTCATTAGCTTGTCTAATATAGCTTGGTGCTACTTCTAAGTGCTGTTTCTAAGTGTGTAGTTGGAGATATTCTGGAGAGAAACTGGAGGTAATCTGAGGTATTCAGGAGGATAAATACAAAGTTAAGATTTGTTAGATTTAAATTATTCTCCTAATTGGAATGGCAGACTTAGTTCAGTGTAACAATTGCTATGCATTTGTTTCACGTTCCACTTTTCGGAGGTTTGGTTGTTGTCTAATCTATAGACTGTTCTCTATCTTGCGGCAGGAGATTGTATTTTTGAAGTCTGAGATTTGTAAATTATCTGGTGAAGAAACTCAGACTGGAACTGCTGCAAAGCCACTGCCGCAGAGACAAACTAGGAAAGGCAGATGGATTACTGTAGGATCAGGTAGACTTAGAGTTGTGGATAAAAGGCATTTTGCACAGTCTGTTGCTCTTCATAATTCATTTTCTGCACTTTCAGAGTGTGATGGTGTTGTGGAGAGAGGCACTGAGGCTAGTGGTGTTGTGGAGAGAGGCACTGAGGCTAGTGGTGTTGTGGAGAGAGGCACTGAGACTAGTGGTGTTGTGGAGAGAGGCACTGAGACTAGTGGTGTTGTGGAGACTGGCTTGGAGACTATGGTGAGGCCTAATAGAAAGCAGTTGTTGTTGGGGGATTCCATTATAAGAGGTGTGGAGATGGACAATGGTGGTCTTGTGAGGTGTCTTCCCGGAGCTACTGCTCACAGAGACAGGAGACATATCTGTAGTATTGTTAAGCAAGCAAAGCAGGAAGGGGAATTGGATGTACTTGTCCATCTAGGGACAAATGACTTGGCTTGCAATGAGGTTTCAGAAGTTAAGGAAATTTTTAGTGTTTTTGCCAATGATATACGGCAGGTTGCTTCCACACTGTCATTCTCTGAAGTTCTGCCTGTGCATAACACTCAGAACGACAGGCGGATGCGTATTAGGGACTTTAATTTGTGGCTTGATGAATGGTGTCGGGAGCAAGGATTTGCCTTTATTTCTCATGGTATCTCTGTTTGGAATGGAGATAAGCTGTACAAAAAAGATGGTTTGCATCTTTCTCAAAAGGGAACAAATGTTCTCAGTGAGCAGTTCAGAGGTTTTGCTAGGATGTATTTAAACTAGGAGGAGGGGGGGCAAAAGGGTGATAAAACATCAATCCAATTGTTCCCCAAAACAAGGACAGAAGGTGCCTGTAGCAAGTGTGTTAAAAAATGATAAGCTTAGAGTCATGTCTACAAATGCTCGCAGTTTAGGGAATAAGATCCATGAACTTGTGGCAATAATGGCAACTGATAGTGTAGATTTAGTCGCTGTTACTGAGACATGGTACAATGAGAAAAATGACTGGGACATAGCAATACCAGGGTACTCTTTATATAGGAAAGATAGGGAAGGCAAGAAAGGGGGAGGGGTGGCCTTGTATGTGAAGGATAGCATAAAATCTAGCCTAATAAAAGTTAGTGAGGCAAACATAGAGTCCGTTTGGGCTACGTTAGAATTTGGTAATCACACAGTAACTCGTGTAGGTGTGATTTATAGGCCCCCAGGACAAATTGAAGAGTTAGATAATCTACTAGTTGAGGAAATAGCTAAAATGACAATGAAGGGGGAAGTTATCATCATGGGTGACTTTAATCTTCCTGATGTAAATTGGAAAACAAAATTAGCTACTTGTGCCAGGAGCACACATATTCTAAACTCCCTACTGGGATTGTCTCTAAAACAAGTTGTTGAGGAGCCAACTCGTAAAGAGGCCATACTAGATTTAGTGTTAACAAATGGAGATTTGGTATCAGATATTACTGTAGGTGAAAGTTTAGGATCCAGTGATCATCAGTCAGTGTGGTTTAATATAAGAACAGTGACTGAGTCACACCACACAAAAACAAAAGTTTTAGACTTTAGAAAAACAGACTTTTCTAAAATTAGAATATGGGTAGAGGAGTCATTATCAGACTGGAGCAATTTAAATGGAGTCCAAGAGAAATGGGATTATTTAAAAGTTGCACTATTGAAGGCAACAGAAAATTGCATTAGGCTTGTCAGTAAAAGCAAAAAATTCAAGAAGCCACTGTGGTACTCCGCAGATGTGGCCAAAATAGTTAAAACAAAAAGTTAGCATTTAGGAATTATAAAAAAAAACCCAGAGTGAGGAAGACAAAATGATCTATAAGATTAGGCAGAAAGAGGCTAAGCAAGTTATAAGAGCTTCCAAATCACACACAGAAGAGAAAATAGCACAGTCAGTAAAAAAGGGGGATAAAACATTATTTAGATACATAAATGAGAAAAGAAAAGTAAAACAAGGATTAGCTAGATTAAAAACAAAAGAAGGAAGGTATGTAGAAGAGGATAAAGGTCTAGCTGACTGCCTCAATGAATATTTTTGTTCTGTATTTACAGATGAAAATGAAGGAAAGGGACCTCAGTTGAGAAAAAGGATAAATGAGTCATTTATTACACGTTTTACAGAGGAAGAGGTTCTATTTCAACTGTCAAAAGTAAAGACAAATAAGTCAATGGGATCTGATGGAATACACCCAAAGCTATTAAAAGAGCTTAGTGGTGTACTAGCAAAACCATTAACAGATTTATTTAACCAATCATTGTTAACAGGAGTAGTCCCAGAAGATTGGAAGTTAGCGAATGTTGTGCCCATTTACAAGAAAGGTAATAGGGAGGAGTCGGTCAACTATAGGCCAGTAAGCCTTACTTCAGTAGTGGGGAAAGTGATGGAAACCATGTTAAAGGATAGGATTGATGAACATCTAAAAACACATGGATTTCAAGATCAGAGACAACATGGGTTTAATTCAGGGAGATCATGCCAAACTAATCTTATTGATTTTTTTGATTGGGTAACTAAAATTATAGATTAGGGTGGTGCAGTAGACATTGCTTACCTAGATTTCAGTAAGGCTTTTGACACTGTTGCACATAGAAGGCTTATCAATAAACTGCAATCTTTAAGTTTGGATTCCAAATATTGTTGAATGGGTAAGGCAGTGGCTGAGTGACAGGCAACAGAGGGTTGTAGTTAATGGAATATATTCGAAGCTTGGACTTGTCACCAGTGGGGTACCTCAGGGATCTGTACTTGGACCCATTCTCTTTAATATTTTTATTAGTGATATTGCAGAAGGTCTTGATGGTAAGTATGTCTTTTTGCTGATGATACTAAGATATGTAACAGGGTTGATGTTCCAGGAGGGATAAGCCAAATGACAAATGATTTAGGTAAACTAGAAAAATGGTCAGAATTGTGGCAACTGACATTTAATGTGGATAAGTGCAAGATAATGCATCTTGGACGTAAAAACCCAAGGGCAGAGTACAGAATATTTGATAGAGTCCTAACCTCAACATATGAGGAAAGGGATTTAGGGGTGATTATTTCTGATGACTTAAAGGTAGGCAGACAATGTAATAGAGCAGCAGGAAATGCTAGCAGAATGCTTGGTTGTATAGGGAGAGGTATTAGCAGTAGAAAGAGGGAAGTGCTCATGCCATTGTACAGAACACTGGTGAGACCTCACTTGGAGTATTGTACACAGTACTGGAGACCGTATCTTCAGAAGGATATTGATACCTTAGAGAGGGTTCAGAGAAGGGCTACTAAACTGGTTCATGGATTGCGGGATAAAACTTACCAGGAAAGGTTAAAGGATCTTAACATGTATAGCTTGGAGGAAAGACGAGACAGGGGGGATATGATAGAAACATTTAAATATATAAAGGGAATCAACACAGTAAAGGAGGAGACTATATTTAAAAGAAGAAAAACTACCACAACAAGAGGACATAGTCTTAAATTAGAGGAACAAAGGTTTAAAAATAATATCAGGAAGTATTACTTTACTGAGAGGGTAGTGGATGCATGGAATAAGCCTTCCAGCTGAAGTGGTAGAGGTTAACACAGTAAAGGAGTTTAAGCATG